ATCATGATCCTATTTTCACTTCCCACTATGGCTGAGGGACAGTTGATGTTTACCATCATCCTAGCTATTGGTTATGAACTTTTTGCTTGGGCTGGACGTGAATCCCCTCTGCCTCCTAAGTAGCTAGGATTACTGGTGTGAGACATTGTACTGGTCCTTTTTTTTTGGGGGGGGGGGGGCGGGTTGAGGGACTGTCATTTGTAGCCCAGGGTAACCTGGAACTCAGTGTGTAGCCAGGGTTCATCCTATATATTTGCCCTGCCTCCCATAGTTCTTTTTCTGGTGTTCACATTTTTTTTTTTTTGGCCATGGGTCTTTAACTCTGGGCCTGGTATCCCTGTGCTCTTCAGCTCAAGGCAAGTGCTCTACCAGTTGAGCTACAACACCACTTCCGGTTTTCTGGTGGTTAATTGGAGGTAAGAGTCTCACAGACTTTCCTGTCCAGGCTGGCTTTGAACTGCGTTTCTCAGATCTCAGCCTCCTGAGTAGCTAGGATTACAGGCATGGGCCACTGGCGCCTGGTTTTTTTTGCTTTAACATTGTCACACTTGACCAGTTTTTAAAAATCAGCTTAGCCCCTTTTTTTTCTTAGCTAACAGTCATGACCTAAGATATATATTTTGTTTCTTGATATAAAAAGAAATTAACTAAGTTGGGCACTGGTGGCTCATGCCTTAATTCTAGCTACTCAGGAGGCTGAGATCTGAGGATCTCGGTTCAAAGCCAGCCTGGGCAGGAAAGTCTGTGATACTCTTATCGCCAATTAACCAGAAGTGCTATGGCTCAAGTGGTAGAGCACTTGCCTTGAGCTGAAGAACTTAGGGACAGCACCCAGACCCCGAGTTCAAGCTCCATGACCAACCAACCAATAAATAAATCAATTAGTGATTTTTCAGAGAGACTCAGGTTTTGTTGTCGTTGTTTAGCACTGTCTGTGTAGCCCAGGCTGGCCTCAAAATCCTGTGTAGCCAGGCTGGCCTTAAAACTCTCAATCCTCCTGTCTGTCTCCTAAATACACTGGAATTACAGGTGTGTAATTGAACTCAGGGCCTGTGCATGCTACATTGCATACTACTAAGCTATGCCCATAGCCTTTGGGCTTTTTGTTTTTATTATTTATTTTGAGACAGTGTCAGTTATGTTGCTCAGGCCAGCCTTGAACTCTGATCCTCCTGCCTCCCCCTACCCAGATGTTGGGATTATAGGTATGCACCATCACAAGTGGCTTTGGTTGCTTTTAGTACGGAATTATATTTAACATTCACTGGGAAATAGGGAGGAAAAAGGTGACATTGTCCAAAAAGAAATGTACTCTTTACCTGACTTTTGTAACTGCAACCCCTCTGTATATCACCTTTATAATAAATATTATAAAGCACTTGTGATTATGTATATGTATCAAACAAGTTATTTTTTAAGCTACAAAAGTAATAGAGCTGTTATATTATTTCATTTAAAGATCGGTTTCTGTTCTTGAACAGGATCGGAGAGCGTGCTGTTCTACTGGGAGGACTCACAGTTGTACTGGCAGGCTTCCTTATCCTGTTACCTTGGGGAAGTCAATTGCCTAAAATACAATGGGAAGGTACAGCCATACATTTCTGACATTAACCCGTTATTTAGTCTTGTTCATCATGTAAACTAACAAGTTGTTCACTGTACCGTTTTGTTTTTACAGATTTACATAATAATTCAGTTCCTAATACTACCTTTGGGGAAACTATTATTGGTCTTTGGAAATCTGCCAGCGAACGTGAGAATGAACCACCAACTGGCTGCCCCGTTGAGCAAGCCTGGTGCCTGTATACCCCGGTGATCCATCTGGCCCAGCTCCTCACCTCAGCTGGGCTGCTGGGCATAGGCTACCCAGCCTGCAATGTCATGTCGTACACACTGTATTCGAAAATCATAGGACCCAGACCTCAGGTACCCTTTTCCTGAAAGTTGAGAAGTTATGTGAAATAGACTTGTAGAACTTACATTTCTTGCTACCATCCTCTATTTTTTTTTTTACACAGACAGAGGATTTTTTTTTGGTCTGAGACCAGAACTCAAATTCTGGGTTATCCGATGCTTTTGCTCGTGCTCATTGGCCGGTAATCTACAACCTGAGCCAAGCCTCCAATCCCCAGGCAGAGGGATTTTTTAATCATGTTTAGCATTTTAAAGCGGAAAACCAACCTTGTTTTTGAGACAAGCTTCTGTCGTTCAGGCTAGCTAGGAACTTGCTGTGGAGTCTCGCTGACCTCCACCTCTCCCCTTCATCAACCTCCCTGGTGCCAGGAATACAGGAAAAATAATTTTTGCAGTGATTGCATGATAATGCATACTGGATACAACTTAAATGTGTGTTGAACTCAGTGATCCTGAGCTTAAAGTCATTTTCACTGAATTTTGTTCTGAGGCTTGAACTCTGGGCTGAGAACTGTCCCTGAGCTTCTTTTGCTCAAGGCTAGCGCTCTCCCACTTGAGCCACAGCACCACTTCTGCTTTTTTCAGTTTATGTGGTCTGAGGAATGGAACCCAGGGCTTCATGCATGCTAGGCAAGCATGCTCTCACTGAGCCACCTTCCCAGCTCTGTCCTTGAATTATTTTTCTTTGACTGTGATGTAGGCTTATGTACTCACTGAAGTGTTTGAGGGTCTTGCTATGTAATCCAGGTTGGCCTGGAACTCATCATCCTCCTGCCTCAGACTCTTGAGTGCTAGGACTGCAGACACCTGGCTTTGAAATACATTTTTTATTGAGAGGCATTTTGTCTTAAATAGTAGAAAAAGTGATTATGTTAGCCAGTTTGATACTAGCAGCATTAAACTAACTAAACTCTAATACTTTTCTGTCCCTTCTCCCCAACCCCACCGGATAACCAGGGTGTATACATGGGCTGGCTAACAGCTTCTGGAAGCGGAGCAAGGATTCTTGGGCCTGTGTTCATCAGCCACGTGTATACTTACTTGGGACCAAGATGGGCATTCAGCCTTGTGTGCGGAATAGTGGTACTCACCATCACCCTCCTGGGAGTGGTATACAAAAGACTTGTTGCCTTTTCTGTGAGGCATGGGGGGATTCAAGAGTAAGCCAAGAGTTGGGTGCCAGTGGCTCACACCTATAACCCTAGCTACTCAGGAGGCTGAGATCTGAGGATTGCAGTTCAAAGCCAGCCCAGGCAGCAAAGTCTGTGAGACTCTTATCTCCAATTAACCACCAGAAAACCAGAAGTGGCACTGTGGCTCAAGTGGTAGAGTGCTAGCTTTGAGCTGAAGAGCTCCAGGGACAGTGCCCAGGCCCAGAGTTCAAGCTTCATGACTGACAAAAAAAAAAAAAAAAGTAAGCCAAGATAGGGAAAAGCACTTGCTGTGTGGCCTTTCCTAGTTGTAAGTCTGCTAGACAAACTCTGTGCCAGTCTGCAGATATTGCATTTTGAAATACAATATGTAAAGCAGCAGAAGCCTATGGCTGGTGCCTGTAACCCTACCCATGAGGCTGAGATAGGAGGGCCACAATCTGAAGACAAGCCTGGCATGTGAACTCTTCATCTCCAGTTAACCAGCAAAGTTAGAAGTGGAACTGTGGCTCAAGTAAGTCAAGCACTAGCCCTAAGCAAAAAAAAAAAAAAAAAAAAAGCATTACTTAGAGCCTGAGTTCAAGCTCCTGGACTAGCACAAATAAAGTAAGAAGGTTAAATTCAGGGTCTTGTGCGCAGGCGCTCTACTACTTAAGCCATGCTTTGATCCTCTTTTGCTTCTGGTATTTTTCAAATAGAGGCTTGCATTACCCCCGGGCTGACCTAGACAGGGATTCTATTTTTCCTCCCTTACTGTACCATGCTGAGATGTTTAAGTGATTGAAATGGGGCATCTCTCAAGCTCATTTGGGCTGGCCTCAGAGCAGTTTTCCTGATCTCAGCCTACAGAGTAGGGAGGGTGACAGGCATAATCTACTGTGCCCTGCCTGACACATTAGGGTTTTGGTTTTCATTTTACCAACTCTGATAACAGTAATGATTCTCTTGGTTTAAGTTTGCATTTCCTCACCATTAATGAGATTGTACTGTTTCTGTATTTTTCATCATATGGATTTCTTCCTTTCAAACTATCCACTACCTTCTCCATTTTTCTATTAGGCTTTAAAAAAATTAAATATGCAACTTATTTGCTTAGGCAAAACCCTTCCCAAAAAATTGCTCAGGAATGGTGATTGTATACTTGCCTACTTAATAGAAATAGTTCCAAAACCTTCTGGTATACACAGCATCAGAAATATTAGGCTGTTGTATTTAAGTAACATCACTTTCAGAATACTTAATATTTAATTAACAAGACTAAAATTTTAAATTAATGTAATTTAAAAGCGATTTTTAGTACTTCAAAATATTTATTAAATCAAAAGATAAAAAAACATATTTATCATTTTTTACAAAGTACATTGCAAACATGTTTCATCAGACACTGGTGCTACAAAAATAAATACAAAATATATATTTATGTTAATTAAAACAAATGTACATTATTTACACACCCAAAAATGCCAAAACTATTGCCCATTTTGTCCATGACTCTGAATACATCTGAAAAATGGGGAAGCCAATAAAAAAAGCACAGCATATCACACATCATTTATATTTTTGCTTTCAAGAGTTGTTTGAGGAACTGGGAATGTGGCTTAGTGGTAGAGTGCTTGTCTAGCACGCATGAAGCCCTGGGTATCACATAAACTGAAAAAGCTGGAAAGTGGCACTGTGGCTCAAGTGGTAGAGTGCTAGCCTTGAGCTAAAGAAGCTCAGGGATAGTGCCCAGGCCCTGAGTTCAAGCCCCAGGACTGACACACACTTACAAAAAAACAAACAAAAAAACCCCCCAGTTGTTCGATACCAATATATGACTACAATAAACTGGGGTGTAGGGAGCCCTATTTTACTTTATGACCACTGTATTTGGTAACTCAAATCCTTAGTAGAAAGGCTTTCTGAAGTTATATTAAATTAAAAAATCACTTGATATGAAAGCCAGCCAAAAAGTTGTTTATTAAATGTAGACATCTAAAAGAAGTTTTTTGATCAATGAAAACTAGAAGGATTGGAAAACATCAGAAGGATGGAAGAAAGACATTGTAATTTCTGTGTGATGTATTCTGGTAATTTTTCATTTTCTCCATACCTAAGTGAAGCAAAGAGAAATATAAAAACAACTTGGTTCTAACAATATTTTAAAAACCACATTATATTTTTAAGTAATGCTTTCTTCAGTGATACAGGCATCTGAAGAAAAACAATACAATTATTTATGAATAGATACCTGTATTGAATGAAGCAAACCCCATTTTTTCTTTTTTTTCTGTCAGTAATGAACTAGGTACCTGGGCAGCGTCCTTGAGCTTTCTCTCTACTGCCTTGAGCCATAGCTCCACTTCTGGTTTTCTAGAGTTTAACTGGAGGTAAGAGTCTCATGGACTTTTCTGCTCGGGCTGGCTTTGAACCGTGATCCTGTTATCTCAGCCTCCTGAGTAGCTAGGATACAGGCATTAATTTCTAAACATTTAAATAACAGGCTTTTATATAAAAAAGGATTTTAATTTCTAAAGCTGTAAATCTGGATTCATTGAAATCACTTCTATTAAATGTTAAGTTTCAAAAATGACCACAGAAGCCGGGCACTGGTGGCTCACTCCTGTTTTCCTAGCCACTCAGGAGGCTGAAATTTGAGGATCACAGTTCAAAGCCAGCCAGGGCAGGAAAGTCCATGAGACTCTTTATTTCCAATTAACCACCAGAAAACCAGAAGTGGGCTGTGGCTCAAGTGATGAAGCACTCACCTTAAGCTGAAGAGCTGAGGGACAGTGCCCAGGGCTGGAGTTCAAGCCCCGTAACCAACAATAAAATAAAAAGATTACTGTTTCCCTGTTAGATATACTACTCACTATAAGAGTAGTTCTTAGGGACAGTACTGCATAAATACACATGTAACAAAAGGTTTCCCTTGTGGGTCAGCCTCTTCTATAGAATCATAAGGTGATAAGGAATTTAACCATTCAAGTGCATTATGGAAAGGTTACTCATACCAACTTCTGTGCATTAATGTAAATAATCAGTAATCATAAAAGACATACTTAAAAGATTGAGCTGTGAAGAATAATGAAGTTTTTAGAGAATATAACTATTAAGATAGTGCTGGGCGCCAGTGACTCACGCCTGTAATCCTAGCTACTTTTGAGGCTGAGATCTGAGGTTTGTGGTTTGCTGCTAGCCCGGGCAGGAAAGTCCATGAAACTCCTATCTCCAGTTAACCATAAAAAAAAAAAAAAAAAGAAGTGACACTATGGCTCAAAGTGTACAGCCTTGAGCCAAGAAAAAGCTCATGGACAGTGTCCAGGCCATGAGTTCAGTCCCCGTGACAAAAAACACAAACAAGAACAGTGGCTTTATTAATCACTTATATTAATACAGAAAGAGCAAACTTACAGGAAAAGGTTGCATTTCAACCAACGTTTAAAGAACTTACCTAGTTGTTTGGCCACTTGGTGAAGTGTAGCTGATAGAAGATACTCCTGCTTGGACAACCAACTGTGACCCATCATTAAACTGAACCCACACAGCTCCACTAGTTAACTAGAAAAAAAAACAAGCATACAAAGTAACTACACAGTAGAGATCTCGTTTTCTTAAAAGGTATATAGTTTTATCCTAAGTTTTCATGTAGTTTTTGTCATTCATTCATTCATGAACAAGGTCTCACTAAGTAGTCCAAGCTGCCTCAAGTTCATGACCCTCCTGCAGAAGCATAAGTGTTGGGATTACAGGTGTGTACCACCATGCATGCCCTGTCCTCTACATAGCTTAAAAAAAATTATCCAAGCTGAGCTGAAGGTGGACAACCTTCAGTTCCCGCCCAGCCTGGGTGAGTTCTAGGCTAACCTGGACTTCATAGACCATCTCAAATAAAACAAAGAAAACAAAATAAACTTCTAAGTTCCATAACTAAAAATTTAGGACTTATAATGGCCTTGGCACTGAGACTGTCTTTTTTTTATTAATAAGTTTTTACTGTGAAAATACCGTACAGAGGGGTTAAAATTACTTGAGCAAGGTAATGAGTGCGTTTCTTATCAAGCATTGTTGCCTCCTCCTTTGTTTCCCCTTCCCATCCCTGCCCTCTCATCTCCTCCCCCCCAACACACTCTGAGACTGTCTTTTTCCAGATCATTCCTTAATTTATTTATTTGTGCTTCATGTTCTCACCGGGCTTGTTTGCTCCCATCAGTTCCTGTATTTTTACTTGAAGCTTGCCTCTAGTCCTCACAGTCTGACCTAGAATGGCAACCCTCCAGTTCTCAGTCTCCTGAGTAGCTAGGCACCCAGCTAGACCATTCCTTCAATAGCTAAGGCACGATAATATTGAAATGATTCTAAATGAATCCTGCTCACTAATTTCCAGTAGGTTATCTAAGCAGGATTTTCCTTTTTGTCTCACATATAGTATTTCTCATCAAGAAGGATCTCAGGAAAAACAAAGCACTTTGTACTTAGGCCTCAAGAATGTATGTCCTGAATGAGAATGATGTACCGTAGCCTTGGAAACTTCTTTTAGTCATTAATATTTACTATTCCTTTCCAAACAGGAAGACACAAAGTATACAGGAAAAAAAACAAACACATGGACACAGTTCAAAGATAGCAAAGCGTACAAAAGTATTTACAAGTACTGAGAGACTGTGTGTAAAACTACTATGATGAGCTATAATTTTAACATTTCTTTTTTGGTTGGTAGTGGGACTTGAACTGGGGCCTGGGCACTGCCCCCGAGCCTCTTTGTGCTCTATCACTTGAGCCACGGCCCCACTTCTGGTTTTCTGGCGATTAAGTAAGAATCTCATGGACTTTCCTGCCTAGTACTCTGAGTAGCTAGGATTACAGGTGTAAGCTATTGGTGTCCAGCTTGACTTAGTTTTTGTTTTGTTTTTTTTGTCGGTTGTAGGGCTTGAACTCTGGGCCTGGGCGCTGTCCTTGAGTTCTTCAGCTCAAAGCTAGCACTCTACCACTTGAGCCACAGCACCACTTCTGGCCTTTTGTACTTATGTGATACTGAGGAACTGATCCCAGGGTTTCAGGCATGCTAGGCAAGCACTCTACCACTGAGCCACCTTCCCAGCCCATACACTCTTCAATTTCAAATTATCATGACCTCTTAATTGTTTTTCTTTTGTGCTGGTACTAGCTTGAACTTAGGGCCTTGCACTCTCACCTGGCTCGTTTACCTAAGGCTAGCACTTAACCATTTGAACCACGTGGTCATTTGGGGCTTTTTGCTGGCTAACTGGCTATCAGAGTCTCTCAGGCCTGTAATCCTAGCAACTCAGGAGGCTGAGATCAGAGGATAGCAGTTCAAAGCCAGCCTAGTCATAAAAGTCCCCGTGAGACTCTTACCTCCAACTAATCACAGAAAAAATTGGAAGTGACACTATGGTTCAAGTGGTAGACGGCTTGCTTTGAACAGAAGGTGCTCAGGGACCATGCCCAAGCCCAGAGTTCAAGTCCCAGGATAGGCAAGGAAAAAAAAAATTGTCAGCTCAGGCTGGTTGTAAACCTCTGTTCATAGATCTCAGCCTCCTGAGTAGCTAAGATTTAAGCTTTATGCTGACTGACGGGATACATGACTCTCAGATTTCTCAGTCCAGACTGGTTTCAAAGTTCATATTCCTAGATCTCAACCTCTTGAGTAGTGAAGATTCATTTATTTTGTTGTTTGGCCTCTACTTACATATTATTACATTTTAATATTACCAATGTAAACAAGTATAAAAAACTTCCTGATAGACAAATTATTAAAATAATTTATATTTTCAGATAACTGGCTAATTAGTGGAAACCAAATGAAATTGATCTGAGAAAATTCACTTCCCTAGAAAGTTCTCACCTGTGTAGCCCAACCAACATTTTTTACAAAAACAGACTTCAAAAGTTGTGCCGATTTCGGAAGACAGTCTTTTACACTATTAGAAGCTGTAGCTGTGTGGCCAGGGCCTTCCAGGGTAACCACCTATAAACAAAGGACAGGATTTTATAGGCCAATGCCATCTAAAGAGGAAAACTCATTGAATTTCTTAAAGCAAACTTCTTTTGGTGCCAGTCTGAGGGCTTGAACTGAGGGCCTGGGTACTATCCCTGAGCTCTTTTTAGGTAAGGCTAGTGCTCTACCACTTGAACCACAGCTGTACTTCTGACTTTTTGGTGATTAACTGGAGATAACGTGTCATGGACTTTCCTGCCCATCAGTCTTCAAACCATAATCCTCTTATCTTAGCTTCCTTAGTAGCTATGATTGTAGATGTGAGCCACTGGCACCTGACTTAAACTAAGCTGTCAGGAAGTGGAGTTTTGGCTGGAGTAGTAGATCATCAGCCTTGAGCAGAAAAAGCCAAGTGAAAGCACAAGACCCCAAGTTCAAGCTCCTGTTCCAGCACATTAGACAGATAGCATGATATATTGCTATATCTATTTTGGTAGATGTCTTTCATCTTTTTTCCCCAAGCAATGTTTTCATTGATGCAGATAAGAATACAAATGTGAGAACACATAACCACATCCCTACTTAACAGAGTTCTAAATTTATATAGTTTCATCTCTCTAACTCCCCCCCTAATTTACTGACTGTGATTGTGGGGACCAAATCCAGAGTGTTACACATGATAAACATGTGGTACCCTAGAGCTATGTTCCCCCAATATCAAATTTTAATTTACTCAGAGTGTCAGGCAATCACTAATGGCTTAAAGTTCAGAAATAATGTATTTACTTACAGACGGTTTAAGTGTGGGTCCCTGTGTTGGAGAAGCCGCACGATTCATGAGCGATCTGTTCAAAGCTGGTCTGTCTCTCACTGAGCAGTTGGCACCCACACAAGGAAAGGGTGATAAGGCCTTAGGTGAACCAGTGCTACCAGGTTTTCTGAAGAAAAAAAGAAATGTCGATATTATCCATTAAAACTTTCCACAGAAAACAGGAATATTTGTAATGCAAACAGTAAACTCTTCTTTAAAGAATTACACGTATCTTAAGACATTTTAGACATGTGTTTAAGACGTGTTTAGAATTTTCAAATATTTACCTTCCTATAATTATTGGGAAAAAACAAGCACTCCTACTTTTCCTTTCTTGTTCTGAAATTATAGATTCCAGTGCTAAACAAGTATGATGACCCTATTTCAAAAGAAGAGTGCTATTAGTATTTTACTTACTTAACTTGTAATCACTTTTTAATTTCAGTAGGCAGATACCTCATTAGCATGATCCACATATACTTTTATTTCTTCTTTTAAGCTGTTAGCTTCATTTCCATTTTTCAAACTGTAAGATCGCCCAGTCTTTTCAATCACTTGAATTGAATGTTCTGTTTTGTGTATTTTTGTTCCTAAAAATTAGCAGAATTATAATTTCTGCCAACATTTTTATGTTATAAATTAGACTCTAAAAATATCCAATCATATAGGTCACCCATTTTTCTCTGCTTTAACTGATACTTTTATATTTTAAAAAAAAATCACTGCTCTTATACAAAAACATAACTGAAAGACAGCCATCATGCTTTGTGCACTGTGTGATATGTATACATACATATCTACTTAAGAGAGATTCATGATTTAAAAGTATACCATTTCAGCCAAGCACTGGCAGCTCATGCCTGTAATCTTCTTGAGGCTGAGATCTGAGGATCATAGTTTGAAGGCAGCCCGGGCAAAAAAGTCAATGAGACTGTCATGTCTAATAATAATACTCAAAAAAAAAAAGCTAGAAGTGGCCCTGAGGCTCAAGTGATAGAGCACTATCCTTGAACATATAAAGAAGCTTAGGGACAGAGCCCAGGCCCTAAATTCAATCTCTAGGACTAGGACTATTACAAATTATCCTTGTTCCCCCCCACACACACATTTATGGCTGTCATAATTTGGTTTATGTCAATTTGAGTTTTTCGTAAGAAGCTGCTGTTGATTTTGCACAATTTTTGTATTATCAATCTGGATTCAGAGCTAGATTGGGACAAAGGACTACTATGCATGTACACCTATTACAGAAGATAGTTAAAACATCGCAACACATAGTATACTTGCTATATAATTTATATAAATGGAGATTGTATATGTACTACATATTTTATATGAATATATAAAATGTGTATTACATAGTATATATATGTGTGTGTGTGTAGACACACACTGCAAACTGTTATGAATTTTTAAAAATATATATACAACTACTAAATTACAAACACAAAGGAAAAATAGCATTTCGAAATAATACTTACCATCATAAAACCAAACTTCAAAATCAGCACCAGGAGAATTCTCCATCAAAATACATTTAGCATATTTTGTAAAATAAGTGATTTTGGGAGTCTTAGATCTTACAAGTTGTACAAATCTAGAAGCATATTGGTATTTTCGCCAGTATTTTTCTAAGGGGAAAAATTACCTAATATTAATGAAGTAAAGGTTGATTTAACATACAGTTTTACCTATTTGAGTTCTCTTCTCATTTTTCTTTATTGCCAGTCCTCAGCCTGGGCACTGTTCCTGATCATCTTTTGCTCAAAGATAGTGCTCTATCACAGCCACAGCTCCACTTCTGCCTTTTTCTGTTTATGTGGTTAAGGACTCCAACCCAGGGCTTTATGCATACTAGGCACTCTTATTACTAAGCCACATCCCCAGGCCCCTTATTTGATTCTGATATAGATAGGTTAGGCAAATTTTACTTGCTTCTAAAAGTCATTTCCCCTTAATAACATGGGGCCTCATGAATTCTAGGCAAGCACTCTTACCACTAAGCCACAATCCCAATCCCAAATTGTACATAGGATCCACCTCCCTTAGCCTCCTGATTATGGGGATTACAGGCATGTGACACCACACCTAGATATACAAATGTAGTGTCACACATGACTTATCTACAGGCTGCTCACTCATGCCTGTAATCCTAGCTACTCATAGAAGGCTGCTATCTGAGGATTGTGGCTCAAAGCCAATTTGGGCAGGAAAGTCCATGAGATTCTTATTCCAATTAACCAGCAGGAAATCAGAAGTAGAGCTGTGGCTCAAAGTGGCTGAGCACTACATTTGAGCAGAAGAGCTCAGGGACAATGCCCAGGCCCAAGTTTAAACCCCATGACCTCTACCACCACCACCACCACCACCAACAACAACAAAATTTACATACCTGGTAAATTGTCAAAGCTGTACGTACTAATGTTGTCAGTAGGTGAGGGAGGTCTATCAGCAAGAAGAAAGTCTCTTCCGTCATTTGGATAATATACAGTGACCTGTAAAAGTTTTTCAAGATTTTTAAGTGTACATCATTATGAGTACTACACTGTTTACAAAAATATAGAGGGTTCAAACATTATAAAAACATTAATTTTTGAAAGATGTTAAAGTATTCTCTAATTTTTTTAAAAAAAAACTTAACCAAAACTACAGATTTTATTGCCAAAGCCTCATACCTAGAGGCAAGGTCCCTATTTCAGCCCTATACCTGTACTTTTTTTCTTTTTTGCCAGTACTAAGGTGTGAGCTCAGGGCTTCCACTGCTTGCCTGGTGCTCTAATACCTAAGCTATGCCTCCAGTCTGGCATTGGCTGGTTGTTTTGGTGATAAGAGTTTTTCAGACATTTCTACCTGGTCTGTTTTCAAATTGAGAGCCTCTGTATTTCAGCCTCCAGAATAGGCAGAATTACAGGCATAATCTACCCAATGTCTGACTTCTCTACAGGTTTTTAAAGCTAGACTATTTAAATAAATATTATATTAATTTCTGAATTCCAAAGAAAATCATATTAAAATATTGATACTGGAAGGTAAACTGCAATGCTAAATAGTGCCACAATTTGAAGCTTCAAGATCATAAAAATAACTACATACCATAGTCCCATCACTGGATATTTGAAGAACTTCTTTCACATATTCTTCAGATGTACACTCCTTTAGTAGTTCCACACACACCTCCTCAGAATCAAGTATGCTCACCTAAAGAAATAACAAAAATTATTAGTAATTATCTTATTAGGACATCTCTAAACCCATGATACTTAAAAGTACTTAACCATAACAGAAACAAACATCAAAGTCAAAAATCAAATAGCTGCTTCACGATAATAGTCAAGACTAGAGGTGAATATGAGCACATCTGAGCCAGAAGGTGGAGAGGTAAAGATGTATAATGAAGTGTGAAATGATATCCAATGAGCAAAAAGAAAACAGAAGGTAGGGTGGAGAATAAGGACTTTGAAAAGACAATAGAAAGCCAGACAAAGGCAAGGTAAGTTCAATGGGAAAGAAAGAACAGAAAGAAAATTAATTTGTAAAGCAAAAAAATCATTCCTACTTCATACAATTTTAAAATTCTAAACATAAACATAGAAATTCCTTTTGAGTTTCAGTTGTTAAAATTTACACTTTAACTTTTTGATTGGAGGCTGAAGTAAAGGCAGAAATGAAAATTAAGTCAAGGGGTTATTAAGTCAATTCACTGATCAGAACGATGAATAAAATATTCAACACAGTATTTTGTCAGCATCATTTAAAAAATACTTTTCAGTCAGGGGCTGGGAAAGGGGCTCAGTGGTAGGGTGCTTGCCTTGCACGCACAAGGTCTTGGGTTCGATTCCTCAGCACCACATAATTAGAAAAAAGCTGGAAGTGGCACTGTGGCTCAAGTGGTAGGGCACTAGCCTTGAGCTGAAGAGCTGAGGGACAGTGCCCAGCCCCAGAGTTCAAAAGCCCCACAACCGACCAAAAAAGAAAAAAGTAAAATGTTTTTCAGTCAAATACTTTTTTAAAAGTCGTAACTTAAAATTCAAAACTTAATAACAAGTATCAGTTCACTAACACTATCACTCTACTACTTGAGCCATACTTCCACTTCTGGCTTTTTGGTGGTTAATTTGAGATAAAGGGCAGGGAATGTGGCTTAATGGTAGAGTGCTGGCCCAGCATTCTTGAGTCCCTGGGTTCAATTCCTCAGTATCACATAAACAAAAATAAACCAATTGTTTCAGAAGTAGAGCTGTGGCTCAAAGTGGTAGAACACTAGTCTTGAGTAAAACAGCTCAGGGACAGTGCCCAGACTGAGTTCAGGGACCCCTCCCATCCCCATAGACACACACTCACTCTTTAGTGGACTCATGAGCTGGCTTCAAGTTGTGATCATCAGATCTCAACCTCCTCAGTGGCTGGGATTACAGCAATGAGCCACCAGTGCCTTGCTGCTCAATTCACCACCCTTAAAGAGCTAAAGGGAACAACTAGGTGCTAGTGCACACCTTTAATCCCAGCCCTTGATATATTGAAGCACCAGGACCAAAAGTTCTAGACTTGGCTACACAGAAGCCCTGTCTCAAAACAAACAGCAACAAAGAACACAAAACCCCAAAAAGCTACAGGGAAAAAGAGCTATTTTTCCATGAATACTCAATCTTTTTTCTTTTTTTTTAATTGTGAAAGTACTGTACAGAGGGGTTACAATTGCAGGGCAAGATAATGAGTACATCTCTCATCAAGCATTGTTGCCTTGCCTCCTCCTTTGTTTCCCCTTCCTATCTCCCACCCTTCCAACCCCGCACTCCACCTCCATGCCCCCCGGCCAAAGTTGTAAAGTTCGTTTTTTTCCACATAAGGATGTGTACATCTCATTGTTGCAATGAGTCCACCTGTATCCCTATTTAAACGATTTGTTTTTTTTCCCTTCCCCTCCACAAATTATATCAAAATCAAATACAGTGAAGGCAAGGGTTATGCTGTGGGGGAGGGACATACAAAGAAACATAGAAATCATCTTATAAATATGTTAGAAACAATCGCATGAAAGAAAAAAAAATACACTTGAATCCTTATCTTGGGGTTATTTTCACCTAACATCAACTTATCTGACCTTTTCTGCTTGTCTCAGACATACTAGTTATTGCAAATAAGGGAAACCATGAGACCTACGTTTCTTTGGGCCTGGCTTACTTCACTTAATATAATTTTTTCCAAGTCTTTCCATTTCCTAACAGATGGGGCAATGCCATTCTTTCTGATAGAGGCATAGAATTCCATTGTCTTCTTTCTTTTTAAGTAAGTTTATCATGTACATTCTCCACAAGTGACTAAAAATTATGTTCATAAGAACTAAATTGTAAGAAAAATAATAAATAGTAACTTAAAAAAAGAGACATACCACAGCCTTTTTGGTTTTTTGTCTGATTGGTTTTAACCTGTGAGCAATCAAAGGAGCTGTAATGCTTCGTAATGTACGTTTCTGACAACCCAAAGTTGACTCCATACCCCTGGTCTTGCTTTGTTCAGGAGTATCTAAGCCACAAATAGGTTCTTGTTGAATTATCTCAGGTTTACTATGAAGTGCAGTCATATACTTTATAGTGTTCAGCTGTTTTACAGAATGTGCATTTTCAGAAGTATCAGTCCAAGCATTTCTTGATGTGTCTTGCCAATCTGGATATCCCTGGAAATCTTGGTGTGGGCTAATGCTGTTGGGCTCAGCAGTTTCTCTTAAGTGAGCTATAATACACAGTGAAAAAAGCAGTTTAGTAAATTACTGCAAAGTGACATAAACGTGCTTACCATATTAACTACTATATACATAATTATATACATATAATACACACATATTTAAGATAAAATTTTCAATTAAGGTAAAAAATATAACCAGAGTCACCTACTAAGTCAAAGCAATGTTTCAACAAACAAAAGCAGATTTGAGAAGAGCCTCAGATGATCATTCTATATATGAAAAATATATACATTTGTTCCTTTTATACTCAGATGTCTAATCCATCTTTACCTAGAAAAAAGTGTAAATAAAAGCAATGCTACATTAATAGCTTTATTATTAATATTTAATATTACATATGTGCCTGTAGCAATATTTTAAGAAGTTCTTACTGAACTTGATCAATTTATATTTTACATTTTACAGTCCATACTATTATTACTGCAAAGGTCTTTATACAACTAGATTACCTGAAAATTTTCAATTACTAAGCTCTAAAAGTCTACAGCAATTGTTTTCTTTTTTTTTTTTTGTCGGTCGTGGGGCCTGAACTCTGGGCCTGGGCGCTGTCCCTCAGCTCTTCAGCTCAATGCGAGCGCTCTACCACTTGAGCTATAGCACCACTTCCAGCAATTGTTTTCTTATAAGGCTTAAACAAAAGAATATTGTATCAAGTAAAATACTTTAAAAGTGAAAGAGTACTGCTATACTGTTATAAAAAGGTTATTTCTTCATCTCAAAATTCACATTACCAAATGAAAATACTTATAAACAGAAGTGTATGATTATGTACATGACAAAAACAAACCTGACTTACCTCCAACAAATACACATGAAAAGAGTAATTCCATTTTAGGCATCTGAAAATCCTATCGATTTCTTTTGTAAAATGAGTAGACTTGAGGCGACTTAACTGTCCCCTTCAATTACAGCCTCATTATGGACTCTTTGTAAACATGGTAATACAACACTTGGTAAAAAAACATCTCCTCCTCTCCATATGTTTGTTAATTTCCCCATCATTGTTTTGCAGTTCGCCTTCTGTGAGTGTTATGCTCACCAAGGAGGACTATTAACACTCCATCCACAATGACTTGGTGACAGCTGCTCTATAATTGTAGTAGCTGTTTATTTTAGTGAGAGGTTTCTAGACTACAATGTCTGTTTCACCTTCAAGTTGTAATAAATCATGTTTAAAATATTGTGGGGACACTGTCAATAGATGCTTATGATAGAGAAGCTTTAAGAGCAAAAGGCTCAGAAGTAAAGCTGCTGAGCTAGGATGTATCTTAGAATTCTAGCTTCTCTATGAAAAGGCTGTGTAACACCTGTAAACTGAGTTCTGTGCACCTCACCTGTAAAATTAGGATAATAATGCCATCTTCCTCATGTTTTTTATTTGAATTTAGTGAATTAATCATATGTTGAGTACAAACAGTAGCTGACTTACAGTAAATGTTCTAAATATGCACTATTGTTGCTGCACTATAGCATTTTTGAAATTTACTAGAAATTTTTTTTTTTTGGTAGGTCCTGGGGCCTGAACTCTGGCTCTGGGCTCTGTCCCTCAGTTCTTCAGCTCAAGGCTAGCACTCTACCACTTGAGCCACAGCACTACTTTTTCTGTTTATGTGGTGCTGAGGACTTGAACTTAGGGCCTCATCCATGCAAGGCAAGCACTCTACCACTGAGTCACCTTCCCAGCCCCCTGGAAATGTTTTTCATGAAAATACAAATATTCCAGGTCACTAATTTTCCATTAAAACTCCATTAAAAACTTACCATTTACTTGCAGATTCCCAAACCATTGCTGTACAATTTCCATCTGAGATTTCTGGTCTAATGGAAAGGGAGTTTTTCCTAAACAAAGATGATTAGAGCTAAAGGAGGGAAGAAAAGAAAAATCCCATTAAGTAATAAATCATCCATCAACTTTCTATTTTGGGGGAAAGGATGTTTTGCTTAGATAAAACAGAATTGCTATTCAGCCCTCATGCAACTTTATCAAGTAGATACACTAAGAGAAAGATGTGAATACCCAAAAACTTCAAAAGTAACTGTAGAAAAGTAATAGAATTAAACTATCTCTAGAAAGACTCTCATATTTTAAGCATAAAATCTGTCACAAGATTAGACAAAGAAAAATAGCTCTATTTAAAAAAATAAACGTTTTCAGGGCTGGGAAGGTGGCTCAGTGGTAGAGTGCTTGCCTTGCATGCAGGAGGCGCTGGGTTCAATTCCTCAGCACCATATAAGCAAAAAGAAAAAAGCCGGGAAGTGGCGCTGTGGCTCAAGTTGTAGAGCGCTAGCCTTCAGCTGAAGAGCTGAGGGACAGCACCCAGGCCCAGAGTTCAGGCCCCACAACCAGACCCAAAAATAAACAAAAAATAAATGTTTTCAAGGTAAAAGCTTGCTTTATCCTCTCCTAAGACTCAGCTCTACTGGTCGGGCAAGGCCAAGGGATTTTTCTCTGCAAAGGACCATTTGGGTGTTTTACAACAGAATTCCCAGGCCTAAGCCATCTCTCTTGAAAAAGCCACTAGATTTACTGACTTTCAAATGTGGCAGTTGCTTTGGCAGGGCCTTATTACAGTCCATGGGAGCAATGTTCCCTACCCTTCTAATCTGTGCAGTTCTTAGAGTACTTTAGGGATCAGATTTTAAATATATAGTGCATCACAGAAACCTGCTCCACTTAAAAAAATTAAAATTTCTAAAAAATAAACCTTCTATAAGTCATTTACACATTCTTTTGCCTTGTTACAGGGAGGGATTGGTTGAGACAGTTGTATTACTATAATCCTAACTGACCTCGAATTCACTGGCCTCAAACTCAACACCTTCCTACTCTGAGACCATATCCAGCTACATTCATTTTTTCAAAAACCTGAACTGCTGGAACCCAGAGGCTCATGCCTATAATCCTAGCTATTTAGGAGCCAGAGATCTGGGAGGACTGTCATTTGAGACAAACCTTCTCAAAAAGTTTGAGACCCCCTACCTCAAAAGAAAAAGCTAGGCATGGTGTAGTGTACCTGTCACTCCAGCTTGTTATAGAAAGCCAAAATAACCACAGTAGCCACACAACCAGCTAATGACTGTAACCCTAGCCACTCAAGAAGCTGAGATCTAAGGATCTTGGTTCCAAGAACCCTGACAAGTCAGTCCAGGAAACGTTTATCTCCAATTGCCCAGCCAAAAGCCAAGAAATGGAGGTGTGGCCTCAGTGGTAGAGTGCCAGTCTTAAGTAAAAAAGCTAAGGAAGAGCACAAGGCTGAGATCAAGCCCCAATACTGACACATGCAGACACATAAAATAAGAGCAGAGTTGAACTCTGGTGACCAATACCTGTTACCCTAGGTATGTGGGAGGCTGAGACTCAGAAGTTTGAGGCCAGCTCAGATAGACACTCTTCTCTAACTCAGGGACAGGAGTGTGTCTCAAGTGACACCGCACTAGAATTGTGAGACCCTAAGCTCGAACCCCAATACCACAAAGAGAAAAAGCTGGAGGCATGACTCAAGCAGTAGAGTACCTTCTTAGCACAGTTCAAACACCAGTACTACAAAAATAAATAGACCCCTAAACCATAATTCAAAAACTATGTTCTGCCTCTCATAAAAATCAATATTCATTGCCCTAGGACATCCCATAATTTAGATGTGGCTTCATATTCATGCTAGTACAACGTTTACAAAAAATAAAATGCTTTTGGTATAGTTCTTACGCTGCTTGGTTGTTATCAGGTCTTTCCAAAGATCCAGAACTACTGGATGTTTTTTCTTTAAAGAAGTGAAAAACATTGACATCACTGCTTGTGGTTGAATATCTCTGCTCATTTTCATCAATTCCTGATCTTTTGGACTTTGAAAGCACTTCTGCTGAGTGACATCTTTCCATCATGTATGTTTTTGCATGAGATTGACTAGAAGTGCTGGATCTATCAGAGGAATGGGCTCGACGAAGGTATCGAGAATGTGGCCTTTCTTCTGCATCATGGGTTACTCTTCTCCTTCCACTATTACTCGTTTCTTGTTCATCATTTCCCCACTGGGTACAATAGCTGCTCCCATCACCTGAAGAAAAGTCACTTGAATTTTTACTTTTTGGAAATATAGCCATTTTATTTGGGAGTGGGTGACCAATCAAAAGTCTTCTTCTGTCAAATAAACTACCACTTACACTGGTACCAGAAGACGCTGTAATTGCAGTAGAAATTGTGGCATGTCCACTATCAATTGAGTCTTCTACAGTTCCTAAATCTTTACTTTTTGCTGAAGAACTTTGGGACATAAAAGGATGGTCCAATATTGAAGACAGACTTAAACGATCTGCAGGATTTCTACGAAGTAATTGGTGAATAAGGTCCTTGGCCTCTTTTGACAAAAAAGTTGGCATTTCATAATCTGCCATTACCACTTTATTTAATGTGTTCTTGACAGTGTCAGTGTCAAAAGGTGGTCTCCCAATAAGCAATGTGTAAAACATACAACCCAAGGACCATACATCAGACTCAAGTCCATGTGCGCTTCGAGTTGCAATTTCTGGGGAAATGTAATTAGGAGTTCCACAAAGTGTATAGTGCTTTTCATGTGGCATTTTCAACTGGGTTGCCAGTCCAAAATCAGCAATCTTGATATTCATGTTGCGAGTAAGTAAGAGATTAGAAAGTGTGAGGTCCCGGTGTAATATACCATGGGAATGAAGATACAACATTCCTGTGATGATCTGATACATGAAGTGTCGAGCTATGAGGATGAAGAAAGGAGAACTTACAATCTGGAAAATCTGAGAGATTCAGCATTCAGAATACATTATGAAACCTAGCTACAAATGCCAAAGAATTTTATTAAAATACTAGTATACAGAGTTTGCTTGGATATATGAAAATACAACAATGAAACTTGTGGGGCTGGGAAGGTGGCTCAGTGGTAGAGCACTTGCCTTGCATGCTCGAGGCCCTGGGTTCGATTCCTCAGCACCACATAAGAAAAAAGCTGGAAGTGGCGCTGTGGCTCAAGTGGTAGAGTGCTAGCCTTGAGCTGAAGAGCTGAGGGACAGCGCCCAGGCCCAGAGTTCAGGCCCCACGACCAGACCCCTCCCCCCCCCCCCAAAAAAAAAAACCAATGAAACTTGTTAAAACTTTTAGAAAGTGGCAGTGGGATAGTAGAGAGTGACAGAGGACCGGGTACGGCTGATCAAAATACACCGTATGCACATGTGGAACCTCCTTGTAAAACTAAGGTATGCTGAAAAAGAAAAGTATATTACTGAGTACAGATAAACAGTAGCTTTCACATAGATTTATCAACCAAAATACTACTCTGCTGATATCACAATACTGGATTCCCTTTAAAAGAAAACTAGGCACTGCTTTTAATCTTTGCCATTTGCAACTGATAAGCTTTCTACTTACAAAGGTAGCTAAATTATAAAGGTAACTAAAGAGAATTCCAAAATAACTGAAGAGTAATTATTATTACTCTGTCTATCCTAGGGCCTGAACTCAGGTCGTAGGCAATCTCCCTGTGCTTTTATGCTCAAAGATAGCATGCTGACACTTGAGCCACAGCTTCACTTTGCCATTTTGATGACTAACTGGAGACAGGAATATGACAGATATTCCTGCCTAAGGCGGGCTTTGACCGGTAAACCTCAGAGCTCAGCCTCCTGAGTAGCTAGGATTATAGGCATGAGCACCGGCAACCAGCAAAAAGTAATAATTTGTAATTGCACAATTAAGTACATACAACTTATAAAAAAAGAAAGTTCCTTTGATGGCTCCAAAACTCTCCCAAAAATTATTCATTGACAAGCTTATGTATATCTTTAAATTTTTTCTTTTGCATGTTTACATACATTTAAATCTACACATTGCAATGAATACTTTTAAAAATATAAAACTTAAGCCAGGTACCAGTGGCTCACGCTTGTAATCCTATCTACTCAGGAGTCTGAGATCTGAGGATCGCAGTTCAAAGCCAGCCCAGGCAGAAAGTCCTTGAGACTCTTATCTCCAATAAACCATTAGAAAACTGGAAGTGGCGCTGTGGCTCAAACGGTAGAGCGCTCACCTTGTGCTGTAGAGTGCAGGGACAGGGCCCAAGCCGAGTTCAAGACCCATGACCAACAAAAAATAAAAAAAAAATATATATATATAAAACTGAGGGCTGGGAATGTGGCTCAGTGTTAAGAGTGCTTGCCTAGAATACATGAAGCCCTAGGTTCAATTCCTCAGTATCATATAAGCAGATAAGGCCAGAAGTGGCGCTGTGGCTCAAGTGGTAGAGTGCTAGCCTTAAACAAAAGAAGCTCAGGGACAGTGTTCAAGCCCTGAGTTCAAGACTCAGGACTGGCGTGTGTGTGTGTGTGTGTGTGTGTGTGTGTGTATGTGTGTGTATAAAACAACAAAAAAAATTTTAAAGCTTATTTTAAATATACAGCTTATTTTCCCAATTTTACATCAGTTCTCATAGGTAATTTTGTAGTGATACAGGTCTTCATTCTGCTTACTTGCTGTTGAGGAACCTTTAGGTCCATTTGTGGTATTCTAAGTTCACGAAGACAGTGATAAACATTCTTCTAGATACTTGTTCTCTTATGTGTATGTAAGAGGCTTTCTCATAGTCATTCGTTCTTAAGGGTATTCAAGATATACAATCAAGCTGTATGCTGGTGGCTTATTTCTTTTTTCTGTCTTGAACTCTGGGCCTGGGCACTGTCCCTCAGCAATTCAGATCAAGACAAGTGCTCTACCACTTGAGCCACAGTGCCCCTTCTGGTTTTCTGAGTGGCTTATTGGAGATAAGAGTTTCAGGGACTTTCCTCCCTGGGCTGGCTTTGAACTGTGATCCTCAGATCTCAGCCTCCTGAGTAGCTAGGATTACAGGCATGAGCCACCAGCACCTGGCTGGTGGTGTATTTCTATAATCCTAGCTAATCAGGAGGCTAATATTCAGGGAATCATGGTTTGAAGCCAGTCAGAGTAAAGCAAAAGTACATAGCACCCATCTCCAAGTCAACCAGCAAAAAGCTATTTAAGCGTTCACATGGTACAACACCAAGCAAACAAGCCTCTCAAGCACAAGGCCCACCCCAAGTTCTAATCTGAGTCCCCTTTAAAAAACAAAGTACAGATTCAGTGGGTTGGAGAATGATTCTGTTTTTTCTTTTTTGGTGCTGGTACTAAACTCAGGGCCTCTGACTCACTTGTCTTTTTTTGCTGTTGTTTTATCCTATATGTCTCAACATTTTTATTTTGTGCTGGAACTCAGGACCTCTCAACTTGTGCTTTTTCACTCAAGGCTGGCATCCTACCATTTGAGCCAAATCTCTAGTTCCGATTTTTTGCTAGTCAATGGGAGATTAGATTCTCATAAACTTTTCTGCCCAGACTGGCTTACCCTGATCCTCAGATCTTAGCCTCCAGAGTAGCTAGGATTACAGATATAAGCCGTGGTGTCTGGCTTTTATTTCCTGTACATTTCCAAGTTATTCTTCAGAAGGCTATATTTCTTTAAGCATGCTAGTTAACCCCATAGTTTCAATTCAGCATAGCACCACAGGCTCACATCTATAATCCTAGCTAACTCAGGATGCTGGGACATGGAGGATCTAAGTTCAAAGCCAACCTTGGCAGAAAAGTCTGGAAATTCCATCTCTAATTAACCAGCAAAATGCCAAACTGAAGGTGTCTTGCGAAGTGATAGCAAGACAGCCATGACCAAGCACCAAGTAACTCGAAGCACTGAGTTCAAGCCCTGATACTAGCACACACAAGAAAGTACAGAAAATTACTGATATACATCTTTCCAGTTTATCATCTGTAATCACTGTTAACAGAGCAATATAATGATAAAAAAATTAGTTTGATAATTATAGAATTTGACTCTAATTTTAACTATAAAAAAGTTATGAGAAAAAAAATTATGGGAGCCAACGTCAGTGGCTCATACTTATTTTGCTAGCTATTTAGGAGACTGAGAACTGAGAATCACAGTTCAAAGCCAGACTGGGCAGAAAAATCCATGAGACTCATACCCAGTTAACCACCAAAAAGCTGGAAGTGGAGTTGTGGCTCAAAAGAAAAGCGCTTACCTTGAGCAAAAAGGATCAGGGACAATACTCAGGCCCCTGAGTTCAAACCCAGAACCGGCACTCAAAAGAAAAAAAAAGAGAGAAATGGGAAAGAGAGGAAGTAAAGTTCATCTTCTATTTCACAGTAAGGAATTATTAGATGTGACAATGTGCTCATGTTTTCAGTTTGTATTTTGAAAAAATATACTCGTATGTCTAAAAATACAAATTTACTTCAAAATACTTAGTAAATTAGAGTAAGATGAGTATAACTGGAAGTTGAGTGATAAGCTGAGGGCATTCAGGAAGGAATTCTATACATTTTCAGTAATAAATTATTGTAATGGTTATACTTGGCCTACACTACAGCCATTAATGACATTCAAAAAAGCTTTGCAGACTAGAAAGAATATATAGTAAATGACTACCAAAGGTTAAGTTGTTTTAATTTACAATGTGTTTGGGGGGGGACAAATTTCTTGCTTCAGTAACCAGTGGTTTATAAAACCTATCAGCTTTTGGGGGACACAAAAGAGAATCTCCTTTTCTAGCCTATAGCAATGACTGAATACTTTTACTAAATACTATAAAACAGCACACTTCAAAACCATATTCTGAAAGACAAAATGTCTATCTTACCAAAAACAAGGAGGGAAGGAGAGGGAAAGAAGAGACAAAGAAGCCTACCTTCATTTTCTGAGAAAGGTTTCCGTCTGTTCTTTAGGTACCTGTTCATTTCTCCATTATGACACATTTCTAATACCAGGTACACATAATTGTTGTCTTCAAAATAGTTATAAAGCTGAAATGTAAAAGGTTATAATAAATTATGCAAAAATCTAGTCTCAGGCCTGGTAGTAGGACATACCTGTAATTCTAGCACTCAGAAGGCTCAAGTCAATAGAACTTTAAGTTTGAGGTCAGTTTGAGCTACACATCAAGACTATCTCAAAAATCTAAGGAAGTAAAAAATGATTCATTATCCTTACCTACTTTTATAGAACTTGTAACTCACCTCCAAGATAGAAGGATGTTTCAACTGACAATGTATTTTCACCTCATTTTGGACTCGCTGTACCATACCAGCTTTGTACATGGCTTTCTTATCTATCTAAAAATAGCAGAGAAGTTTAAGTGTTGATGATAAAACTTACAAACAGAAAGTTGTTAAAAGTCAACATTGATCTGGGTGCCGGTGGCTTACACCTGCAATCCTACTCAGGAGCCTGAGATCTAAGGATAACAGTTGAAAGCCAGCTGGGCCAAGAAACTCCTTGAGACTCTGATCTTCAATTAACCACCGGAAAACCACTCTTGGAAAACCACTCTTGGCGCTGTAGACTTAAGTGGTAGCCCCAGGCCTAGAGCTTAAGCCCTAAGACCAAACAAACAAATAAGAAAAGCCAACATTGAAAGTCTAGAAGTAATTCAAAACAGACTGGGGTCTTTTTATATATGCCCTACTGATTTTCTCCAGAGCAACAGGCAACCTGCAGAGCAGACAGTAGTTTGTCTTTTGCATTCTAATACCCTCTTCTCAATATAAGTACTTTAATAACATACTTCTTCTAACCTTAGGGGAAAAAATCCAAACTTAAATCTTCACACAAAAAGTCCTCTTTCCTTTTATAACGGGTTTTGATAGTTAATTTTTCTCTTGTTCTAAATTCCTAGAGATAGGACTTACCAACTCTGTTCATGCTAGGCAAGCACTCTACCTGTAAGTTCTACCACCAGGGAGACAACTCATGTGTTTATTTTAGTTTATTAGACTGGTTTCTAACACTCAAGACTAGTACTTTGGATTGCTAAAGTTACTGGGTTTTGACCCAACTCCAAGTATGCATAATTACAACCCCTACCAGCTCTAATGAAACAGTAATAAAGTTAAACCATTTAAGCAAGGTCAAGCTCTCCTCAAATATTCTCAAGCTCATGACTGGACTTGGTCCTAGTCTTTTGTGTACATACAGTCTTTACATCACAATGAAAGAACCGGCTGGTGGAGTGACATCCCCAACAGCAGGCCCTGTACTTACTCGCCAAGTACTGGAGAAGCACTAAGCACTCATCAGTACAGTCTTACCATTTTGATTGCAACTTCCAAACCAGTCTGGATGGACTCAGCTCTGTAGACACCAGCAAATGATCCTTTCCCCAGCAGATTTCCAACCTTAAAGTCCTTAAAAATTAAAGATCAGACATGTGTGATAACGCTCGGGAGAAAGGAAGGGTGGGAAGGGGCCGGGGGGCCAAGGGCAGCGGGCGGAGGGGCGACGCGAGCACCTGGACGCGGCCTGCGCGCGGGGCGGCGGGCATGCTGGCGCTTCGCGGGGCTCCCGGGCTCCAGGCTGGGCCCGGGCGGCGCCCCGGGGAGAGCTGCGAGCCCCATCCCCCGCCCCCGAACCCGCGGCCCGGCCCGCCGCGGCCAACCGCCGTCCCGAGGGAAGCGGGAGGCGGCCCTCGGCGCGCAGTCTCGGCGGGACCGCCGCTCCCAGGCCGCGCCGCGGGACCTCCCCGCGCCCCGCGGGGCGGAGCCGGGCGGGGCGGGGCCACCTCGGCGGGCTCCTCCTCCGCGCCCCAGCCCCGGCCCTCAGCCCTCAGCCTCGGCCCTCAGCCCCGGCCCTCAGCCCTCAGCCCCGGCCCTCAGCCCTCAGCCTCAGCCCTCAGCCTCGGCCCTCAGCCTCAGCCTCAGCCCCGGCCCTCAGCCCTCAGCCCTCAGCCCCGGCCCTCAGCCTCAGCCCCGGCCCTCAGCCCTCAGCCCCGGCCCTCAGCCCCGGCCCTCAGCCCCGGCCCTCAGCCCTCAGCCTCAGCCCTCAGCCTCGGCCCTCAGCCCCGGCCCTCAGCCCCGGCCCTCAGCCCTCAGCCCCGGCCCTCAGCCCTCAGCCTCAGCCCCGGCCCTCAGCCCTCAGCCTCAGCCCCGGCCCTCAGCCCTCAGCCTCAGCCCCGGCCCTCAGCCCTCAGCCCTCAGCCCCGGCCCTCAGCCCTCAGCCCTCAGCCCCGGCCCTCAGCCCCGGCCCTCAGCCCTCAGCCCCGGCCCTCAGCCCCGGCCCTCAGCCCCGGCCCTCAGCCCTCAGCCCCGGCCCTCAGCCCCGGCCCTCAGCCCTCAGCCCCGGCCCTCAGCCCTCAGCCCCGGCCCTCAGCCCCGGCCCTCAGCCCTCAGCCCCGGCCCTCAGCCCCGGCCCTCAGCCCTCAGCCCCGGCCCTCAGCCCTCAGCCCCGGCCCTCAGCCCTCAGCCCCGGCCCTCAGCCCTCAGCCTCAGCCCCGGCCCTCAGCCCTCAGCCTCAGCCCCGGCCCTCAGCCCTCAGCCCCGGCCCTCAGCCCTCAGCCCTCAGCCCCGGCCCTCAGCCCCGGCCCTCAGCCCTCAGCCCCGGCCCTCAGCCCCGGCCCTCAGCCCCGGCCCTCAGCCCTCAGCCCCGGCCCTCAGCCCCGGCCCTCAGCCCTCAGCCCCGGCCCTCAGCCCTCAGCCCCGGCCCTCAGCCCCGGCCCTCAGCCCTCAGCCCCGGCCCTCAGCCCCGGCCCTCAGCCCTCAGCCCCGGCCCTCAGCCCTCAGCCCCGGCCCTCAGCCCTCAGCCCCGGCCCTCAGCCCTCAGCCCCGGCCCTCAGCCCTCAGCCCCGGCCCTCAGCCCCAGCCCTCAGCCCCGGCCCTCAGCCCCGGCCCTCAGCCCCAGCCCTCAGCTCCCCCGGTCCCCGCAGCCCCCCCGGTCCCCGTAGCCCCCCGGTCCCCGCAGCCCCCCCGGTCCTCCCGGTCCCCGCAGCCCCCCCGGTCCCCGTAGCCCCCCGGTCCCCGCAGCCCCCCCGGTCCCCGCAGCCCCCCCGGTCCCCGCAGCCCCCCCCGTCCCCGCAGCCCTCCGCCCCGCAGCCCCCCCCGGTCCCCGCAGCCCTCCGGTCCCCGCAGCCCCCCGGTCCCCGCAGCCCCCCCCGGTCCCCGCAGCCCCCCGGTCCCCGCAGCCCCCCCGGTCCCCGCAGCCCCCCGGTCCCCGCAGCCCCCCGGTCCCCGCAGCCCTCCGCCCCGCAGCCCCCCCGGTCCCCGCAGCCCCCCGGTCCCCGCAGCCCTCCGCCCCGCAGCCCCCCCGGTCCCCGCAGCCCCCCGGTCCCCGCAGCCCTCCGCCCCGCAGCCCCCCCGGTCCCCGCAGCCCTCCGCCCCGCAGCCCCCCCGGTCCCCGCAGCCCGCAGCCTTTCACCTCGATCTTCTCGCCGATGCAGGTCGCCATCTTCCCAGGCGGCGGCCCGGGCTCGCTCGCTTCGCGCAGCGCCTTCGAGGTAACGCTCCAAGCAGCCGCCCGGTCTTGGCGCCCATCAGGCTTTGCTTTCTAGGCCGCCGCTCCCGGCGACGACGCCGACGCCACCGAAAAGTCTCCCTGACACCTGAGGCCGGGGCGGCGTCTCCGCGCCCCCATTTTGAAAATCTCGCGCCCGCAGCCGACGGGCCCGGCCGGCGTGACGTCACGCGGAGGGGCCGCGCGTGCGCGCTGAGGGCTCTTCCGGCTGCGCACGCTCCCGCGGGTCGCGCTCCGGCCCCGAGGCGGGCGCGCACGCGCGCGGGAGGACGCTGGTTAACCCGTCAGGAAAACCGCCAGGGACTCCGAAGAAGGGCGGTAGTTCCGACTGAAGAACTGTCTTCAGTTACCCGGGGCTGTCAACCTTCGAAGAGAAACACTGGAGCTTCCCGGCTCCTCGTCGGTTTTCAGCTCGCTTTAAAAACAGCTGTCCTCCGCACGCCCCTTGCCGGCCGTGGCGCCGTCCCTGGCTCTGCAGCTGCAGGCCAGCGCGCGACCGCCTGAGCCACAGCCCCACTTCGGTTTTCTGGCGGCTCTTGGGAGATGAGTCTCACGGGCTTTCCGGCCCGGGCTGGCTTCGAACCGCGACCCTCGGAGCTGGGTGCGGGCGCGCCCCGGCGCCCGCCGGGATGAGTAGATGCCCAGCCGGCGCCGGCCGCGCCCGCTCCGGGGGGCTGGGTCCGCGGATCGCGGGAAAGGCCCACCGCAGTGTCCAGGGCACCCCGCCCAGAGGAAGCCCGAGGCCGGGCCGGAGCCCGGCTCCGGGGAGCGGCCGAGTCCCGCGCACGCCGGCCCCGCCCGCGCCTCCGCCCCGCCGGCCGCGAGCCGCCCGCCCGGAAGTGGAACCGAGTGCGTGGCGGCGACGCGGCCGGGCAGGCCCTGGCCAGCTGGCCGGCGTCTCGCTGCGGCCCCGGGAGCGTCGGGCCGGGCCGGGGCGGGGCAGGGCGGGGCGGGGCGGGGCCGGGAGCGCCGGGGCGGGGCCGGGGAGGGGCGGGGCCGGGAGCGCCGGGGCGGGGCGGCGCAGGCCGGGGCGGGGCCGGGGCGGGGCCGGGGCGGGGCCGGGAACGCCGGGGCGGGGCCGGGAGCGCCGGGGCGGGGCGGGGCGGGGCCGGGAGGGGCGGGGCCGGGAGCGCCGGGGCGGGGCCGGGGAGGGGCGGGGCCGGGAGCGCCGGGGCGGGGCGGGGCCGGGGAGGGGCGGGGCCGGGAGCGCCGGGGCGGGGCCAGGGCGGGGCCGGGCCGGGGCGGGGCCGGGAACGCCGGGCCGGGCCGGGGCAGGGCGGGGCGGGGCCGGGAGGGGCGGGGCGGGGCGGGGCGGGGCCGGGAGCGCCGGGGCGGGGCGGGGCGGGGCGGGGCCGGGAGCGCCGGGGAGGGGCGGGGCCGGGAGCGCCGGGGCGGGGCGGGGCCGGGAGCGCCGGGGCGGGGCGGGGCGGGGCGGGGCCGGGAGCGCCGGGGCGGGGCGGGGAGGGGCGGGGCCGGGAGCGCCGGGGCGGGGCGGGGCGGGGCCGGGAGCGCCGGGGCGGGGCGGGGCGGGGCCGGGAGGGGCGGGGCCGGGAGGGGCGGGGCCGGGAGCGCCAGGCCGGGGCGGGGCGGGGCCGGGCCGCCCTCCCCGGTGAGGGGAGGCGATTCCTTCCGCACCCAGTGGGTGCCACCCTCGTGTTCGCGCCCGGAGGGAGCTGGGAGGATGAGGGCCGAGAGGGGGATGCACTAAGCTTAGAAAACCCACTGCCGACGTACGCATCCTGTGACTTTAGGGCCTTGTTAGCAAGTTAGATTCCAAAATCTCAGTTCAAGCTTAAGACCTGCACCAAAACATAATAATGAACCACCCTAAATTCCCAAAGTCTGGGTGGGAGTAAAGGCGCAGTGGGAGGGAGGGAGGGAGGGAGGAAAGCGCCCCGCTGCGCCTCGCCTCTGTAATGGCACAGTAGGCTCACATTTTTCTGCTCTAGCGAAAATCCTACTTGGAGTATGTGGGCAGACGTACAAATTTATGAAAATGAGGGATGCTTCCATCGATTTCAGGTCAAGGTTAGCCAGTCTGACCTACTACTCTGTCTTTAGCTTTACACAGTTTTCCAAGTTATAATTGTGCTAATTTTAAATTGTGTTAATGCTGTCTTTATGTTGATTATTGAGCTCCACATTGACTTCATAAAATTAACCCTCACACAAAGTATGTCTAACAAGTCTGTGTCTTTCCTTTCCTTTTGTTACTTGTGTACCAGTCCTAGAGCTTGAACTTACACCTTTTTTTTTTCTACCACTTGAGCTACAGCACCACTTTCAGTTTTCTGGTGGTTTATTGAAGATAATTATTGGAGTCTCATGGACTTTCCTGCCCGGGCTGGCTTTGAACTGTGACCCTCAGATCTCAGCCTCCTGAGTAGCTAGGATGACAGGCGTGAGCCACCAGCACTCAGCTAGAGTTTGTTTTTTTAACTGATTTTTGTTTACTCATGGCTAGCACTCTACTGCTGTGCCATAGCTCCACATCCAGTTTTTTGGTGATTAACTGAAGGTATCTCACAAATTTTCCTGCCTGGGCTAGCTTTGAACCATGATCCTAGATCTCAGCCTCCTGAGTAACTAGAATAATAGGTAAGAAATCCTGGCACCAGGCTCTTTCCTTTTGTCCTCAGTAGAAAGTACTGTTATTCTAAAACCTAAGTTATTTTTACTCTAATTAGCAAAATTTGTTAGTATGTGGATTTTAGTTTTTTTAACTGTGCTGGGTTTGAAAGGTGGCTCAGTGGTAGAGCGCTTGCCTTGCATGTCTGAGGCCCTGGGTTCGATTCCTCAGCACCACATAAGCAAAAAGAAAAAAGCCAGAAGTGGTGCTGTGGCTCAAGTGGTAGAGCACTAGCCTTGAGCTGAAGAGCTGAGGGACAGCGCTCAGGCCCAGAATTCAGGCCCCACAACTGGACCCCCCCCAAAAAAAAAAAAAAAAGAAAGGTGGCTCAGTGGTAGAGTGCTTGCCTTACATGCATGAGGCCCTGGGTTCGATTCTTCAGCACCACATAAGCAGAATAAGTCATAGTGGTAGAGCACTAGCCTTGAGCTGAGGAACTGAGGGACAGCGCTCAGGCCCAGAGTTCAGGCTCTACAACCAAAAACAACAATAACAAAAAGAATTCTGTCAGGTGCTGGTGGCTCACACCTGAATTCCTAGCTACTCAGGAAGCTGAGATCTTAGGATCACAGTTCAAAGCCAGCCTGGGCAGGAAAGTCCCTGAGAGTCATCTTCAATTAACCACCTTCAGAAAACCAGGAGTGGTGCTGTGGCTCAAGTGGTAGAGTGCTTGCCTTAAGCTGAAGAGAGCCCAGGCACAGAGTTCAAGCCCCACGACCAACCAAAAAAAAATAAAAAAGAATTCTGTATATTGCTAAGAAATCAAGTCATCACAAATTATTTTTCATGGAAGGAGGGCTACTATGTATAAGCCCAGGCTGGCCCTGAACTCATAAACCTCCTGCCTTAGCCTCCTAAATGCTACAATCTCCACAAATACTGAGATTACCACAGTGCATGTTCCTGTAAAAACCTGTTTTCCTAATTGCAGTTCAACAAGCTATTGAGTTCGTTTCTGAATCCAAGTAAAGTCATTTGTTCTTTTCCCTGATTCATAATTCTGTTAATTCCTATTTCTTCTTTGCTTACCATATAGTAACATTCTTTTACACCTTTTAAAATAATTTCTAAAATAATAGCTTTTTATTTAGAGACTTTTGTGTAGTGTTGCATATATTCAACACAGATTGGAACCGAACTTAACCTACTGTCTTTTCAAAACCATACTAGGCTAACATTTTCAATAAATGCATCAAATAATGATTACATTATAAGGTTAGATGGTTTCTGAAAGTATCATTTACACTGAATTAGCAGAAGGAATATATGTATTATCTTTACATGTATTTAACTTACCAAATGAAATGTTATATCAACTAAAAACAAAGCTGCTCAAAGTGAGGTAAGAGTATGGATGGAGCGATGTCAGGATGTACTAGATAGTTCAGATGTAGAACGCACCCAACATTTTTCCCAGGAAGTTTCTGAGGTACAGCTACCAAGCAAGTATGTATAAGTTCTAATCAAGAAAAAGCTATAAAAAAATCTCTTTGGACTTTTAAATATTGCTTCACAACCATGCCTTTTCTGTAATACATATGCACACACCCCCTATACAAAAATGTACTTCTTTTCCCTTATTTGATGTAATTATTTCAGATATTAAAAGATGTCAGGTCTCCATAAGATTTTTTCAAAGTAAAAAAATAATATCTACCCCATAAATGCAAAATTAAAATTCTGGAAGTATGCACTGCTCCATATTTTCCTTTTAGTGAAGACTACATTGTAGGAACAAAATCTCCACTAGAGAACTGGATGCAAGAAATGACAATCCCTAAACATAGAGCCTCGTCTTAATATTCATTAAGTTTCAGTTAAAAATAAACAACCTTTAGTTTTGGGAAAAAATTAGTTTGGGGGGGAAAATAGCCTTTCAAAATGTTTATCTAAGTCAATCTAGTCAACTGGCGCTGAGACCAGCCCACCTATGCAGCTATGCTTCTTTGCTTTGTAGTTGCAATGTTATTTCAATCTTTTTCCATAAACTTTTCCGAGCCTTTGGGCAGATTAGGTCCTTACTATATCTTAAGTTGATGGTCCCATCTCCCATTTAATTATTTAAAAAGCACTAAAACTGGAGCCAAAGTTTCAAAAGGTAATTTAACAGCAGGAACTATAATTTAATCACATTATATCATATTACACTACATAACATTATATATTTTGCCTACTGCTAAGTAACACAGTTAAGTTTATTACAAGCATTATTTACTAAGACCATGGTGTAAATGCTCCTTTTGAAGTATTATAATGTAATAGTATTTTATAACATTAAATCAATGATAAATCTATATAATGCAGTGCATTTTGTGCCATTTCTGCCTACTCCATGTTAAAATATTACTAACAAAATCAATTAAGAAAACAGACAACTATTAAAATGGAAACAAGGTTATCAACATCACAGATGCATATCCAAGTAGGTCAACAGCATTTCCCTAGAACATTAAGATTAGGCTAGCATTAGTTTAGTAGCAGCTGGTCTTCAGACAAGTAAAACAAAACTTTCAAGTGAAAAAGACAGTTATCCTGAGAAAACATCAATCCACATTACCAATAAAAGCAAAATGCTGGTATCACCTTTACATAAAATTGTGCACTTTCCACCTGTGATTTAGTTCACTTATATGATGACAAGACTTGAATTTGCACGTTACATAAATGAGATCAAGAAACCTCTTGTTTCGGTATTTAAATTATAACAATAAAATACCTAGAAAAAATATCAGTGCCTGGGTGGCTTTAAGCCACGACACAATTTCAGTATTTTCAAGGGAACAATGCAATCAAGCCTGTGCTTCTGTACTAATAATGTAATACAGTAACCTTTACTGAATAAAGGAACTGAGCTTTATCTAATAGAAGCATTAAATAGAGGAGACTATCATTCATTACATACCAATCCTGCATGTTTGATACTGGGAAAGCTTAAACTGACTTGTAAGTCTATATTCAGCTAAAGCTCACATAAGCAGCAATGGAAATGAATAGAAGTGTACTCCATATAGAACACTTTTCAAAACTACTCCAAAAAACAAATGACAAAAGGTAGGTAAGAACAACTGAACATGTGTTGTGTATACCAGATGTAAAAGATGGATAGACCCTTTGTTATTTGCACTGTTTCAATCATGTAAGGTAAAATTAAAACTTAGTCCACTTCCATCTCTCCAGATTTAGTATACTGTGAGCTGTCTTTTGTTGTATCTGGTTTAGTTTCAGTTCCACTCTGTCCATCCATTGGTCCATTGTGTTCACTGTTAGCTTTTGTTTTGTCTTCAGCAGCTTCCACTTTTGGTTTAGGCTTGTAAATGATGGGGTTACAGAAATTATCCAGTTCCTAAAGAGATACATTATATTTAAAATATTAAAGAACCTGCTACTAACTTTCAAAATTTTACATTAAGTTTCTCTGTTTCCACATTCCTGAATCCCTTCTGAAAATGGTTGTGGTAGCTCAGCTTATATAACCATTTCTTCAAATACTGTATGAGAATTTTCCTTCTGGCTAACTCATGTTTATGGCAATCAGAAACTATGAAAGGCTTAAGAATTACTTTTTGTATAAAACTTCTTAAAACAAAAACTATTTTAATAAATAATAGTGGTTTTATTTTATTTTAACTCAGGGCCTGGGCACTGTCCCTGAGCTGCTTTTGCTCAAGGCAAGTGCTCTACCAGTTGAGCTACAGTGCCATTCCAACCTTTTCTGTTTATGTGGTACTGAGGAATCGAGGCCAGGGCCTCACGTGTGCTAGGCAAGCACTCTACCACTAAGCCACATCTCCATCTATTAGTTTATTTTTTATTTTGTCCGTCATGGGGTCTGAACTCTGGGCCTAGGCGCTGTCCCTGAGCTCTTCAGGTCAAGGCTAGCACTCTACCACTTGAGTCACAGCACCACTTCCAGATTTTTCTGTTTATGTGGTGCTGAGGAATTGAAGCCAGGGCCTCATGAATGTGAGGCAAGCACTCTACCACTGAGCCACCTTCCCAGCCCCCATTAGTTTTATTTTAATAAGCAGAATTATATGTAAATATACATAGTAACAACTCTGCTTTTTGTAAAATAGCTGAAGGTAATCCATAAAAAGTAAATACTTAATTTTAAATGTTTTTTAATTTTTCTGCTACAGGAAGAATAAGGTAAGAAATTTAATGTAACATACTATTTTAATGAAATATAGGTATTTCCTATTTCTTAGCTTTTTATACAGAAATGATGGCTTTGAACTGTGATCCTCTGGATCTTAGCTGCCTCAGTTGTTAGGATTATAGGTATAATCTACTGACATTTGGCTTCTATGACAATTTCTAAATGTTCCATTAGTAGTTGTTTCCTAAATTGGAAAGTTCATTTCAAATTAAGTAAAATTAAAATAAGAGTATTGCCATGGAAGTTCATACATTTCAAACTAGGTTAAAGTCAGACCTATACTACAATGAAGACTTTGGAATATCTAAAGGCAGAAATCATAAATTGCTTTACTTCATTTTATATTACTCTTTAAACTTAAAAACAGGTCTTGTATGACATTAAAAAAAAGAAGAAGAAGAAGAAGAAATAGCCAGGCACTAGTGGCTCACACCTGTAATCCGAGTTACTCAGGAGGCTGAGATCTGAGGAGCCCAAGTTCAAAGTCAGCCTGAGGAGAGAAGTCCCTGTGAGACTATTATCTCCACTTAACAAACAGAAAACCACAAGTGGAGCTGTGTGCTAGCCTTGAACAAAATGGCTCAGGGACAGAGCTCATAGCTAGATTGTCCTACAGCTAGAATCATTTAAAAAACTGACAAAGTACAAGATATACTCTAAAATTCTGCGTTTCTAAAAGCTCTTCTGCAAGCTAATTATTTGAGAAATCTGAGTCACATTAAAAAAGGAATTTTGTAATGTCTTACCTTTGACTTGGCAACTATTTCTGATACTTTTACCACAGGATCTTGAGTAAGACTCAATTTGTTCTGTGCATTCATTTTACTATTCAGCCAACTCATGGCATCACTGATAAATTTTTCAACTTTTTCCATTTCACCAGGATCCAAATGATCATATCTTTCATCCTGTTTAAAAAAAAAAAAAACCTGGTAAAATTTCTGCTTAAAATACTTACATCCTTAATGACTTCACACTTACATATAAATAAGCTATATATAAATAGAACATGATACTGAAGAGATTATCATAAAAAATAAAATCAATGTGTACTTAAAAAGAAAGGCTTTCAGCCTGGTACCACCTTGTTTCTATATCCTTCTATCACTTTCATGACTAGTTGAATCTTTTTTCCCAGCTCATTTAAAGCCTTTGGTCTCTCTTCGTGTTCCATGTATTTCATTTGAATAGGCTGGCCGTATTTCTGTGAACATAAGCACAATTTTGAAAAGAAGTTGTGAATTTTAACTGAAACTTCCATTTGGGGCTTACAAGATAATAAACAGAAAGGGAAGATAGCTAGATTAAAATGTGTTTTCTCTTCTTTTTCTGTATTGTATAGTGATGCTTAACTAACAATCCTTTTTTATCATTTATAATTACCGTTTGATTCTTCTCAAAATGAAAGTCCCAGTCAAAACCAAAGTCCCAGTCAAAACACAATTCTTTCAAAGCTCAGTGCTAAAACTTTATAGAATTATTAGAAAAAGAAAACCATAGGGCATAACAGAATTTACTTTCTTTAAACTTAGGTTTCAAACTAACAATGCAAACTAACTTCTTGATAATACAATTTATCTACTTATATTTAATTATTACACTTTAAGTATGTAGTACATATTAAGTATTTCTCTCCTTTTAAGTTCTTGGATTAGAGCATCTCTAAATGTTAAGACAGCTTCTATAACTTTAGTGAGAAGCACATTAGAAGAATAAAATATATTATAAATTTTAAATAAATTTTTAAATAAATATCAATTTATTTTTAGAAGTTTTAGATTTTCATTAACGTTAGAAAGAAATAATAGGAAGTGGCGTTGTGGCTCAAGTGGTAGAGCACTGAGGAACAGCGCTCAGGTCCAGAGTTCAAGCCCCAAGACCAAAAAGAAAAAAACATTAGTTTAGAAATAACAAGCCAGGCGCTGGTGGCTCATGTCTGTAATCCTAGCTACTTAGGAGGTTGAGATCTGAGGGTCATGGTTCAAAGCCAGCCCAGGAAGGAAAGTCTGTGAAACTCTTATCTCCAATAAACCACCAGAAAACCAGAAGTGGCTCTATGGCTCAAGTGGTATAGCACTTGCCTTGAGCTGAGGGATAGCACCTAGGCCCAGAGTTCAAGCCCCATGACTGACACAAAAAAATAAAAAAAATAAAAGTTTGTGGTTAAGTCATTATACAATGTATACAAACATAGATCATACTATATTATAAATACAGCTTTTCCCTGACCATTAAATAAAAATGAATTTAATGAAACAAATAAATTGTGCTTTCACATCATAAGTTTCAGGAAAGTTAAAATGTCTTATTCAATACTAACATGGGACTCAAAAAAATTTACCTTTAGTTCTTGGAGCTTATCCACATAAATTTGTTTAGGCTGGTCCTCTCCTTCTTCATAGAGCCAATTTTCTGTGCTTTCTAACACTGCAGACAGTTTACTCATGTCCTAGTTGTAATATTTAAGAGACACTAATTATAAATGTCTTCCTTAGCAATTAGAAATAAAAGAAAGAGGCTTTTTTATGCTAAACTTTAGACTTTTTTGTGCCAGTCCTGGGGTCTGAACTCAGGGCTTTTTTGTTCAACGCTAGTGCTCTACCAGTTGAGCCACAGCTCCACTTCTGGATATATGTTTATTTTGATAGTTTCTTGGAAATAAGAGTTTCAAGGACCTTCTTGCCTTGACTGTCTGTGGAAGTGCAATCCTTGTATCTTAGCCTCCTGAGTTGCTAGGGTTATAGGCACCTGTCTGATTTTTCTGACTTATTCATAAACATGTTTTACCGTATTTCTATAATATTGAAAAATAACTAAGGACTGGGTGCTGGTGGCTCATGCCTGTAATCCTAGTTACTCAACAAGGCTGAGATTTGAGGATCATAGTTCAAAGCCAGGCAGGAGAAGTCCATGAGCCTCTTATCTCCAATTATCCACAGAAAGCCAAAGTGAAGCTGTGGCTCAATTGGTAGAGCACTAGCCTTGAGAAAAAGAGCTCAGAGACAGTGCCCAAGCCCTGAATTCAAGCCCCAGTACTGGCACCAAAAAACAGACAAACAAAAAAACCCAAGGGCCATCCCCATACAATTCAAGGAAACTAACAGCAATAAATTTCATACACCTCTTGATAATTCATACTAAGATTTTTTTAAACCCCATTTAAATAATTTTCATAAAAGTTAGGAAATTCAAACTTACTTCTGGAGTGATGAATTTTTCATAAACAGTGCCCAGTCTATCTCTAAAATCATATACATATTCTTCAACAGCATTTTTAGCATCATTTCTTTCTTTCTCTAATTTGTCTTGCATTATCATCTTCCCCTATTCAAAAAGTTTCAGACTGTCATAAGAATATGGTTTAGAGAAACATAAATCAAATATAAACCAAAACCATAATGAAATACCAACTTTTAACTTACTATGAGTAGTACATTTTTTAAAAATAGAAAATAGGTGTTCATGATGCGAAACCCTTATATGTTTCTGAGGCAATACAGAATGCCACAGTCACCCTGGAAATGGTTTAGAGGTCCTCTAAACACTAAACACAGCATTAGAAGATACGTAGCCTGGTAGTGACAACACTTGCCCAGCACACAAGAGGCACTGGGTTTGATTCTTCTCCTCAGTCTATACCCAAAGAAACTGAATATATATTGACTCAACAGACACTTACATGCTAATGTTAGCTGTAATATTATCCAAAAAGTATATATGTGCCAGGCACCAGGGGCTCACACCTACAATCCTAGCTATTCAGGAAGCTAAGATCTGAGGATCATGGTTTGAAATCAGCCAGGGCAGGAAACTCTGTGAGACTCTTATCTCCAAAAAACTACTCAAAAAAGCCAGAAGTGACACTCTGGCTCAGTGGTTAAGTGCTTGCCTTGAGCACAGAGAGGCTCAGGGACCACAGTGTCCAGCCCTTGAGTTCAAGCCCCTGGACCAGCAAAGCAAAAAAAAAAAGTTTAGACAATTGAATGCTTACTAGGCAAATGGATGAGTAAATAAAATACAGACAATGGAATATTTATTCAGTTCTTAAGGAATGAAGTTCTGATATATACAACAATTATAGCATGGGTGAATGCTGAAATAATTAGGTAAAATAAGTTAGACACAAAAGCACAAGTATTCTAATTCAACTTACGAGTTATCTAGACGAGGTAAGTTTATAGGCACAGAGAATAAAGTCCATGGGCACCAGAAGAAGGTAGGAATGGGAAGTTATTATTTTAATAGTTCAATGTTTATATTTGAGACAATGAAAACTTTTAGAAATGGTGATAGCTTTACAACACTGTGACATAAAGCCATGAAACTATATATCTAACAATAGATTTTGTTTTGTTTTGTTTTTGGTGATCCTCGGGCTTGAACTCAGGGCCTGGGCACTGTTCCTAAGCTTTTTTGCCCAAGGTTAGCATTCTACCACTAGAGCCACAGTTCCACTTTTGTTTGGTGGTTAATTGGAGAAAAAGACTCAGACTTTTTTCCCAGGTTAGCTTCAAATTGCGATCTCAGATCTCAGCCTACTGAGTAGTGCAGATTATAGGAGTGAACAACTGGCTCCCAGCTAAAACAGCAATTTTTATACTATATTTTAACCTTAATTTAAAACTAGGTTCAAACCCTAGTTTTTAGTCATTTACTAGCTTGATGGAAAGAAAGGTACTAAAATTCAGTTTTCTTATCCTGTAACAGATTTTTCTATATACTAGAGACAATCTATGTTTTTCATGTAACTAAGATGAAAGCTACTGGCATTATTATAACTCAGTATTTTGTAAAATAGTAAAGTTGTTTGATGGTCTGCTTAGTGATTCTGTAGGAATTTAGTTTCTCATATTTTGGAGATAATGACTTAGAAAAGCATGCATTACCACTTTTCAATATTAACTCAGATTTCTATACCTCATTTTCAATATAGCTATTGAGAAGGTCTTGGGCCAGTTGTCTGTACAGGCTACTCTGGATCGGTAGATCAATACTCTTCACTTTTCCTTTTTTGATGGTTTGATTTATTCGGTCTTGCTTGTCTGAGGAAGTTGACTGTAAAGTGAATTCAAAACAAGTTTAAGTTGCTAAAACTAGTTTTAAGAATGATTTTAGAAATGACAGGGCTAGGAAGGTGGTTCAGTGGTAGAGCGCTTGCCTTGCATGCCTGAGGCCCTGTTCGATTCCTCAGCACCACATAAGCAAAAAGAAAAAAGCTGGAAGTGGCCCTGTGGCTCAAGTGGTAGAACACTAGCCTTGAGCTGAAGAGCTGAGGGACAGCGCCTAGGCCCAGAGTTCAGGCCCCACGACCGGACCAAAAAAAAAAATAAAGAAATGAAATTTAGCAGTATAGTAAAAAAAAGCACAAAAGGGCTGTGAAGGTGGCTCAGTGGTAGAGCGCTTCCCTTGCATGCATGAGGCCCTGGGTTCGATTCCTCAGCACCACATGAGCAAAAAGAAAAAAGCCGGAAGTGGCGCTGTGGCTCAAGTGGTAGAGTGCTAGCCTTGAGCTGAAGAGCTGAGGTAGAGTGCCCAGGCTCAGAGTTCAGGCCCCACGACCAGACTCCCCCCCCCCCCCCCAAAAAAAAAGTACAAAATACCTTTTCTGTATTTTATTTTAAAAAAACTTTAGTATTGAAACAACTTTATATTCTGTGTATGATTAAACCCTTTCCACATAAAAATACTGAGCTGAAAATGCAAATCAAAAACACAATGAGAGCCAAGTATAGTGGACTCAAGTCTATACTAGAAACATGGTAGGCAGAGACGGGGAATCATGGTTTGAGGTCAGTCTGGGCAAAAAAAGTTTGGAGACTCTATGTCAATCAATGGCTAGTGACAGTGGTGTGTATACACTGCCCTAACTGTGGAGTAATTATAAACACAGTGGCTACAGTGGCTCTGCCTCTTCCCTAGCAACCCAGTTAAAAGGAGGTTTGCAGCCCAGGCTGCACTGAGCATGACTGAGACCTCACCTCAAAAAAGGGACTGAAAGTATAGCTCCAAGTGGGAGAGCACCTACTTGCTAAGAAAGACCTTGGGTTTAAAAAAAAGGAGCCCCCAAAACAAAACTAACCAACAAACCAAACATAACAACGTCTCACACAGTGTAACATCTATAATTTGTAAGAAAGGAAAATAACCATTATTGGTAAAGATGTGGATAAATTGATATTTTAAAATGTGTAACCATATTTGGAAGTTGCTGGAAGTTTCTCAAACCATGATGCAGCAACTCTACTTCTCATGTGCCACAGAAAAATGAAAATAGATATGAACATTTGTAAACTGTTCATAACTATGTTTATTATGATGATGATTTGCACCAACAGTCCTAGAGCTTGAACTCAGGGCCTTGGGCTTCTTTTGCTCAAAACTAGCCCCCTAACACATGAGCCACAGCTCTACTTCAGCTTTTTGATAGTTAATTCAAGATAGGAGTCTCTCAGACTTTCCTGCCTATGCTGGCCTTGAACCATGATCCTCAGATCTCAGCTCTGAGTAGACAGGATCACAGGCATATGCCATTGGCACCTGGCTGTTTTTTTTCACTATTTTATATTGATAATGGTAAAAACAAAAAACAAAAAAACAAAACCACAAGCCCTTTAACTGATGAATGTATAAATAAAATCTGTTAATACATTCATAAAATTCTCAAGTCACATCAAGGAATATTTGAAACATCCTAAAAACATTAAGCTTAGTGAAGACTATTTTTTTTTTTTGTCAGTTGTGGGTCTTGAACTCTGGGCCTGAGCACTGTGCCTGAGCTCTTCAGCTCAAGGCTAGTACTCTACCACTTGAGCTACAATACCACTTCTGGTTTTCTGGTGGTTAATTGGAGATAAGAGTCTCACAGACTTTGCTGCCTGGGCTGGCTTTGAACTGCGATTCTGAGATCTCAGCCTCCTGAGTAGCTAGGATTGGCGCCTGGCAAAACAAGACAATTTTAAGAATACTTATATGAAATGCAAAGAACAGGCAAATGTATGAAGACAATGTAGACTAATGATTGCCTAAGGATGGCAGGTAGCAGATTAAGGGGAAATGAAAAGCTATAGTTAATGGGTACCAGCACTTAAAGGGTGAAAAAATGTTTTACAATTGTGAGGAGGGTTGTACAACTGTGAATGTCCCAAAACCTTTGAATTGTATTCTTAAAATGTTTTAATTATACGATAAGTAAATTATACAGAGTGAACAAGGTAAATTGATATAGAGAAAAACAGGTTTCAGATTTTAAATAATTTCATTGTGTAGAATTCAAAATCTCTTATAAGTAATCTATTCAGCTGGTCTGTCCACATTATGCAAATTAGCCAGGCTCCAATGGCTCACACCTGTAATCCTAGCTTCTCAGAAGGCTGAGATCTGAGGATCACAGTTCACATCCAGCCTGAGCAGGAAAGTCTGTGAGACTTTTATCTCCAATTAACCACCAGAAAATGGAAGTGGCACTGTGGCCCAAAGTGGTAGAGTGCTAACCCTGAACAAGAGAGCTCAGAGACATTACGGGCCCAGGTTGAAGCACCATGACCAACAAAAATAATAACCATAGCAACAAAAAATTATGCAAAGTGAAAATCATAGTTTAAAGCATGAGCCACACTTATCGGGGTGACTGGGTTAAGTTCTCTCATTTATTTGTTTTTGTGCCAGTAGTGGGGCTTGAAATCAGGTCCTGCACATTGTATCTTATTAGCCTTTTTTTTTTTTTTCAGTCGTGAGGCTAGTACTCTACCACTTTGAGCCACACTGCCACTTCTGGTTTTCTGGTGGTTAACTGGAGATGAGATTCTCATGGACTTTCCTGTCCAGCTGGCTTTTAACTGTGATCTTCAGATCTGAGCCTCCTGAGCAGCTAGGATTACAGGTGTGAGTCATCAGTGCCCAGCTGTCTCTTAGCTTTAACTTAAGGCTGGCACTCTTATCACTTAAGCCACAGATCCAGTTCTGGGTCTTGGGTGGTTAATTGGAGATAAGAGTTTCAACAGACTTTCTTGTTCGGGCTGGCTTCAAACTACAATCCTCAGCTGATAGCTACCAGCCTCTCCCTCTTTCATTAACAAGAATTATCTATCTTAATAAGATGGTTACTCAATAATATAATCATTCACCCTTTAACATTTTAAATTTAAAAATATTTTTGCATGAAGAGAAATACTGTATAATATGTAGCAAAATGTCTAAGGAGTAGTTAATTGTCATGCAAGGCATTACAAATTTAAATTATCTTCATTTGGTTTATTTCACACTTTCTCTTAATATAATATGATTTCTAATGAAAAAGATGTTAGCAAGAAGAGTTTGGAACCAAGTGCCAGTATCTCATACCTGTAACTGAGGCTGAGACATGGAGGATCACAGCTTGAAGCTAGCCTCGGCAGATAATTCTACAAGGCTCCACATCTTCAGCAAGAGTGAGTTGCCTTGAGTTTAAGCCTTTAGTACAGGCACAGGTGCACACACACAACACACACACACACACACACACACACACACACACACACACACACACACACACACACACACACACACACACACACACACACACACGAATTTTGTGGAGCTGAGCACGGTAATGCAGGTCTTTAATCCAGTTACTTAAGAGGAAGTGATGAGAGAATTGCAGTTCAAGGCCAACCCAAGCAAAAAAGTTAGCAAGAATTTATCTAAAACAATAAATGAAAAATAAAAGGCCAACCAGGTGCCAGTGGCTCATGCTTATAATTCTAGTTACTCAGAAGGCTGAGAACTGAAGATCTCAGTTTGAAGCCAGCCCAAGCCAGAAAGTCTGTGAAACTCTCACCTCCAATTAACCACCACAAAGTTGGAAGAGGAGGAGCTCAAGTAGTAGCAAAAAAGCTTAGGGACAGTACCCAACCACCAAGTTCAAGCCCTATGACTGGTCCAAAAATAAATAAAAAAGACAAGAGTTCTGCCTATACATTTTTGAGGTACAGGTAGGAATGGTCAGGTACCCACCCCCAACACAGTCATGAGACCCTATCTGAAAAATAAACTAAGCAAAAAGGGCTGGGAACATGACGTATTAGAGTACTAGGCTAGTAAGTGCAAAAGTCTTAAGTTCAAATTCCAGTACTATCATAAATAAATATAAAAAATTCATATTAGGGCCTATTCTTTACAAAAAAAAGTCTCTCTAGTAAAACACAGAAATGGACTTTTTTTTTCTTTTTGTTGGCTGTGGGGCCTGAACTCTGGGCCTGGGCACTGTCCCTCAGCTCTTCAGCTCAAGGCTAGCGCTCTACCACTTGAGCCACAGCGCCACTTCCGGCTTTTTTTGCTTATGTGGTGCAGAGGACTAGAACCCAGGCCTTCATTCATGCAAGGCAAGCACTCTACCACTGAGCCACATTCCCACCTCCAGAAATGGAATTTTTTTCTGTAAGTTTTCTATACTTTCCCATAGTACTAAGAGTTATAACATTCAGTACATTAAAAGTAAGCATTGTGAACAAATAACTAATTCAGAATGTTAATCATGAATGAGAACCAGAGATACATGGTTGTAATCCCAGCTACTCAGGAAATGGAAGCAGGAGGATTCTGAGTGATACAAGCTTGGGCAAGCAAGCGAGACATTTTCTACCAAAAAGAAAAACATCCAAAAAAAAAAAAGTCCTCAAAACCAACCACAAAAAAACTCCAAAATAGCCACCCACCCTCTTCACAACTACAAAAACAGTAAACCAAACCTTTGTTTTGGCTCCTGTATGGTCAATTTCCTCTTCTGGGGTATGTTCAGCATGACATTTTTGATGACCACTTTCTTCTTGGTCAACTTGCATTTTATCCTGGAAAGAACACGTGTGATTATTTATATATATTTACACACACACATATATAGTCTCTTTCACTTAAAAGAGTTCAAAAGTCTATTTTGAGATGTGTGAGGATAGTTAAGCAGAAGCTCACTTTTCAAATAAAAATAGTAACAATAGGTTAACAAGTGAAATAAACACCTATTTGGTGCTATATGAACAAATCTTGTGTCATTCCACTATGCTCAAATTAAGAAATATATAGAAAACTGCTCTTGAACTGCAAAACAGGATTCACAAAAGTAAGCTTACCAACAAGAGACCATTCAACTTGACATAAAAATATTAACAAACTAATAAACTGGGAATATAAAATGAAAGATACAAAATCTATAAATCACACAACCACATATTTTTGAAATACTGTAAAATACTAAAAGAAATTCATCAAAACAGATGTCTCTGAATTATTAAAATGTAAACTTTTGAAATATTTTTACCTTATGTTTAAAGAACAGACTTTCAACCAATAACATCCCTAAACTCTAAATACCAATTTCATACACACACACTACAATTCATATATTTTATAAATGCTATTAAATGGTAGTAATTTATTAATAGTCTAAATGAGTTTAAAAAGAAAGTTCAGGCTCAGCACCAGTGACTCACACCTGTAAATCCTAGCTATGCAAGATCCAAGAGTTTATCTCTAATTAACCTCAAAAAGCTGGAAGTGGAACTGTGGCTCAAGTGATAAGTGGTAGAATGTTAACTTTGAGCACAAAAACTCAGGGAAAATGCTCAGGCCCTGAGTTCAAGCCCCAGGTCTGGTGCACACATACAAACTCACACACACACACACACACATATACACACACACACATACACACACACACACACACACATATACACACAGTTCACAGGAATACTATCAATAGTGGGAAAATTAAATGGCTTCTCTGACTCATTCAACCACTATTTTAGGTATAATTCAGGTAAGTAAGTATTCCTTATTTTCAAACAGCTTTAGAAAAATCTTTCAGGCTAGTTTACACCAGTTTCTTCCTACATGATCACTACTAATTTCTGCCATATATCTTCATTTTTCATTAACTTCCTTTGTATTTATGCTATCTCATTGCTTGACTGTCCTTTTTCTACTAGAATGTAAGTTACAGATGACTACAAGCCCTTCTTTGTTTACCCCCATTTCTGAAGTACCTACAAAAGTCTCTACTATACATATATACTTAGGGTGTCATGCTCTTACTTGGCTTGCCTGCTCATGGCTGGCACTCTATCACTTAAGCTATGCCTCCAGTAAGGCATTTTCCTTGTTAATTAGAGACAGAACCTCAGAGTTTTAAAGATTTTTCTCCCCAGGGCTGGCTTCAAACAGAGATTCTCTGATTTTAACCTCCTGAGTAACTAGGATGACAGGCATGAGCCAGCTGAATCTGGCTCAAATATTGTGAATTCAATAAGAGGCTACAAAGATAACTCAATGGTCAACAGGTGAGAAACAGTTATATTGTGGAACATTAGCATGATAAATAACATAAAGATAGTAACTGAAATATCAGTTTTGAGAAGCTTTTACACTGAAGAAATGTTGGCAATCTATAAACTTTAGCAATGCATGTTAAATAACATGCCCGAAACTGACATTCTGGGGGGAAATGGTTCCTACTGTTCTTATATATCTGGGCTTCTTTTACCTGTCTCAGAGATAGCAATGTTAGCAGTGAGGAAAGAGTAACAACAACTTATTACCTTATTTTTCCCTCTAAACCTGAGATTGTTTCACATTTGGGGAGATGAAAATAAGATGACTTTGTAATAAATAATCGTTCTTTTTAAACCTCTAGGTAGGCAGGACACCAGTGGCTCACAACTCCTAACTACTCAGAAGGCTGAGATCTGAGTATCATGATTCAAAGCCAATCTGGGCAGAAAAGTCCCCGTGAGACTCTTATTTCCAGTTAATCAATAAAAAAACAGAAGTGGTGCCATGGCTGAAGTGGTAGAGCACTAGCCTTGAGCACAAAGAGGCTCAGTGCCCAGGCCCCTGAGGTCAAGCCTGGCAACTGACAAAACAAAAAACAAAAAAACCTCTGGACATTGGGTTAAAAAAAATCTTACACAGAACTATTAAGAAATATTCAGGTAACATGTGGCTCATACCTGTACGTCCCAGCTATTTGGGAGGCTAAAGGAGGAGAATCCTGACTCAAGGGCAGCATGGGCAACAAAAATGAGATGCTTCCATGCCCACAAAACAAAAAGAAATAAAATACCCAGAACTCTCTCTACACAAGGGACTAATATCACCTTACTTTAGGAAGAATAATGAAATAAAGTACAATGTATTTAGTATCAGCTACATACCGATTTAAAAGAAAATAAATATGTCAATGTGTTTGCCTACAATGGGAGTGACATGATCCAAAGTATTATTTTCCCTTGGTTATATAAACTGTAGAAGGAATTTCTAGAAACATTTTATCTATCTAGGAATCATTCCTTCTTCCTTCTTCCTCCTCCTTCACCTCCTTCTTGTTCTCTCCTCCTCTCCTATCCCCTCCTCCTCCCCTCCTCTTCCTCCTCCTCCTTCTTATTGGGCTTGAACTCAGGGCCTGGGAGCTGTCCCCGAGCCCCTCTGTACTCAAGGCTAGCACTCTACCAATCTGAGCCACAGTGCCACTTCTTATTTTTTACAAGTAATTTACTGGAGATAAGAGTCTCTGAGAGGGCTGGGAAGGTGGCACAGTGGTAGAGTGCTTGCCTTGCATACATGAGGCCCTGGGTTCGATTCCTCAGCACCACATAACCAAAAAGAAAAAAGCCGGAAGTGGCACTGTGGCTCAAGTGGTAGAGCGCTAGCCTTGAGCTGAAGAGCTGAGGGACAGCGCCCAGGTCCAGAGTTTAGGCCACACTACCAAACAAAAAAAACAAAACAAAAACAAAGAGTCTCTGGGACTTTTCTGCCAGTTGGCTTCGAACCACAATCCTCAGATTTCAGCCTCCTGAGTAGCTAGGATGACAGGTGTGAGCCACCAGTGCCTTTATATAGGGAAATTCTTTATATAGGGAACCTCAACTACATGAAATTGTTCTAAGTAAGCTTTAAATACTTACAAACAAGTGTCTGAGTGACCAAAGCTACCAAAAATCCATGTGCTTTATTCATGGGTTAGTTATTTTAAGTCTGAATCCAAAAATCATCCTAACGCCTTGCTTAACTAGTCTCAGACAAACAAGCAGTAAATAAGAGAATGTTTTTGGAAGTAGAAAGTGCTATATTCTTTGGTATAGCATACTATTGTTACTATATTTTCAGTTCCTAGGATTCACTCACCTTATATGGAGAAAACTAAAGGTTTCTATAGAGATTCTTTCAACAAAAAAAAGAGAAGGTGGGCTGGGAAGTTGGCTCAGTGGTAGAGCGCTTGCCTTGCACGCCTGAGGCCCTAGGTTCGATTCCTCAGCACCACGTAAGCAAAAAGAAAAAAGCCGGAAGTGGTGCTGTGGCTCAAGTGGTAGAGCACTAGCCTTGAGCTGAAGAGCTGAGGGACAGCACTCAGGCCCAGAATTCAGGCCCCATGACCGGACCCCCCCCAAAAAAAAAAGAGAAGTAATGAAAATGAAATGATTATGAATAATTGATCTAAGAAGGCAAAAGAGTATGTCTTAATGGATTAAAGTTACATGTCTGATTTAAGTTTATTGTGAATTACAATCTTAAAAATTAGGATAGGAGCCGAGCACCGGTGGCTCACGCCTGTAATCCTAGCTACTCAGGAGACTGAGATCTGAGGATCACGGTTCAAAGCCAGCCCAGGCAAGAAAGTCCATGAGACTCTTATCTCCAATAAACCACAAGAAAACCGGAAGTGGCACTGTGGCATAAGCGGTAGAGCACTTGCCTTGAACTGAAGAGCTCAAGGTCAACAGCCAAGCCCAGAGTTCAAGCCCCACAACCAACCAAAGACAAAAAATTAGGATAGGGCTAAATTAACATAGGTATAAAATTAGCGTAATTGTCCCATGTTAATTTATGAAAAATTATTTCATTAGTAATGAGAGTTCCTTTTTAAAAAACTAAATAAATGATGTGATAACTAAATAATACTTAGGAAACAGAAAAATGAATCATGCCCTAAATAAACTTCTTTATATGATAGTGATTGTATTTTCATCATTCTAGAAGATTATGCAATAATTGCTAGTAACAACAGACAAAAGAGGGGAAAGAAGAAAAGCTTAAAAAAGGGGAAATTGTCTTGAAATCTACAGAAGTAACCTTCATTTTTGGAGATAGGGGTTACATGCCATGCTGTCCAGGTTGGTCTTGAACTCATGGACTCATTAGCCATTGTCCCATCTTAGCCATTTGTGTAACTGATACTTACAGACACATATCACCATGCTTGGCTAAAAAAGGCCAGTCCTACCACGCATAAAGATAAGGAAAACTGTAGGGCAGATCTCCCTTTATAACTGGGGAAAAAAAATCTAACAAAACCATTAACAATTCTCAAATAGTATGTTTAAAATGTTGAAAATGTGGAGCTGGGAATGTGGCTCAGTGGTAGAGCGCTTGCCTTACATGCATGAGGTCCTGGGTTCGATTCCTTAGCACCACATAAGCAAAAAGAAAAAAGCCAGAAGTGGTGCTGTGGCTCAAGTGGTAGTGCACTAGCCTTGAGATGAAGAGCTGAGGGACAGCGCCCAGGCCCAGAGTTCAGGCTCCACGACCAGACCCCAAAAAACAAACAAACAAAAAAATATTGAAAATGTGATGCAGTGCAATACAATTAAATTCCGTTCATTTTCCTTCATAATATACATGAAGAAGACTAAACTCAGTGTCCCATCTTTCATAAAAAAGTAGAAAAATCTGCATTTGAATGTTACTGAATATATAGTATATTCCTTTGCTTAACTAAACCCTGACGTTTATATTTTCAGTCTAAAAATGTGTGCAGAGTATAAAACTTAATCTTAATTGTTTTTATCCATTACCTAAAATGGTGGTACCAGGGCTTGAATCAAGGACCTGTGCTCTCACTTGGCAAAATAAATGTTTTTACTGGACACTAAGAAGTTAAAGACAGTGTCAAATTCACTTGGTTCGGTATAATGCTATAAAAGATGTACAAGTCTGGAAGTGGTGCTGTGGCTCAAGTGGCAGAGCGCTCGCCTTGAGCTGAAGAGCTGAGGAACAGCGCCCAGGCCCAGAGTTTAAGCCCATGACTGACAAAAAAAGAAAAAAAGAAAAAAAGATGTGCAAGTCCCTGAGGAATGCATTACAATTTAGAAGAGAAAGATTATTCTTTTTAATTTTTTTGACAGTCCTGGGGCTTGAACTCAGGGCCTGGGCACTGTCCCTGAGCTGCTTTGTTCAAGGATAATACTCTTTCAACTTGAGCCACAGCTCCACTTCTGGCTCTTTAGTGGTTAATTGAAAATAAGAGTGTCACAGACTTTCCTGCCTGTGATCCTCAGATCTCAACCTCCTGCAAAGCTAGGATTACAGGTATAAGCTGGATCCCCAGATATTCTTTAATGCTTTTTTTAAAAAAAATACAAAATCACACTGATCTTACAGTAGAAATTCAAACCTCTAGACGCAATGCATTCTTTTATTAAAGTACTCGTTATTGGTTACCACACTGCGTACGTACATGTTATAGATTAAAGAAACAACCTTGACAGGATTTTTACATACCACATCATCTTTGTTTTCATTCTTAAATGAAGCGTCTGTTTCCATAGGAGTGTCACTGTGATCTCCTTCCAAATTTTGCTTTTCAATTACTGATGCACTAGCCACACTGAAGATTCCATGGACATTAATACGAACTTTAACCTTTACTTTGGAAGTATCACCATCAGATTGTGGGAAAACATTCTGAATAGTGAAGCTCCCTTAGAAAAAGAAGAGATTCGATCAGTATAGGAGCTTCAAAACTACTTTGTTCAATAATTTGAATGTCATCTTTTTGATAATTCTGAAACTTTAATTATATTCTAATTAACTGCTATGGTACAGGTTTTGTTTCCCCAGATTATCTTCATCATAACAAGCCTAGTATTAAGACATGAAAAAGTTAACTAATTTGCACTAATTCATCAATGCTAGCTAAAAAGAAAAGGGATTTTAACATTGGACAGCTTGATTCAAAGGCAATGTATAACTTTTTTATTTTTCTTTTTGGCACCAGTCCTGGAGCTTGAACTCAGGGCCTCCGAGCTATCTCTGAGTTTTTGTGCTCAAGGCCAGTATTATACCACTTCAGTCACGGCTCCACTTACTACATTTTGGTGGTTAAGTGGAGTTACATAAGAGTCTCATGGCCTTTCCTGCCCAGGCTGGCACTCTACCACATAAGGTTAAGATAGTCCTCCTGGTCCAAGTCAGGGGCTTATACCAAACCCACAGCTAAGAGCCTTTTCCTGTTTTCCCTGGCATTTCACTCTTACTTTGAAATAAGCCGTCTTTACTGCCATTCTTCCTGCCTCCTAATTCTCTATCTAGTGGGACTTCTCTTTTAACAATTTGGCTCTTTTACTAAAGTTTTCAACTTCTTATCCTATTTTCTGTGTCCTTTCCTTTAATTCTTTGTCAGATTGAGACAACAAACCCAAAGATCCTTAGATAATACATTACTTTGAGGTTATAACTCTAGTTTCTATCACTGACATGATAAATTTATATTCTTTAATCCATCTATCCAATGGTACTTATTAAGTAGCAACCTTAGCAAACTAATATAGCTTTTAATAATATACTTGAAAGTATTTGTCTCCTCCCTAGTCTGTTAATATAGAAAAAAAATTAAACTTAAAAACTTGTGTGTGTGCACGTGCGCACACGCAAGTACATGCATGTATGGCCCCTCTCACCTGTCCTAGGTGACAGCTATCCCAGCTCAAGGTTAGCCCTCGACTACTTGAGTCATAGCTCCACTTTGGCTTTTTGGTACCTGGAGATAAAGTTTCACAGACTTCCTTGCCTAGACTGGCTTCTTGAACTTTGATCCTCACAGCTCAGCCTCCTAAATAGCTAAGATTACAGTTATGAGCCACAGTTGCCTGGCTGCTTCTTGTTGTTGTCCTGAGCTCTTTTGCTCATGCTAGCACTCTATTACATTGATCTACAGCTCTACTTCCGGCTCTTTTGGTTACATAAAAACTCTCATGAATTTTTCTCCTTGGGCTGGCTTTTGAATTCAGTTTTCAGATCTCAGCCTCGAGTAGCTAGGAGTATAGACCTGAGTCACTAGCACCTGGCTAAAATCTGTTTTTTTTTCTTCTAAATTACTTTATTGTTGTTTTAAAGGTGACATACAGTGGGGTTACCTTTACATACATCAATAAGTACGCTTTCTATTGCCTAGTGTCTTCTGTTCCCTCATTCTCACCTATTCCTTCCCTGCCCCCTCCACCCACAGACTGCATAGCTCACTTTCCTCCTGGATAGCCTGTGGAGCCAGTGCGCTCCACTGCTGCACTCTTTCTCCATTTTCCTGATGCTGTGTCCTTCTCCACCATCCCCCAGATGTACATGATATATATAAGGTAAAGAATACAGAGTCAGGGCTGGGAAGGTGGCTCAGTGGTAGAGCGCTTGTCTTGCATGCCTGAGGCCCTGGGTTCGATTCCTCAGCACCACATAGCAAAAAGAAAAAAGCCAGAAGTGGCGCTGTGGCTCAAGGGGTAGAGTGCTAGCCTTGAGCTGAAGAGCTGAGGGACAGCGCCCAGGCCCAGAGTTCAGGCCCCATGACCGTACCCCCCTCCCCCCAAAAAAGAATACAGAGTCATCTGCAAATGAAAAACCAAATTAAGAAAAAGGTCCTTTGTTTCCATATACTTGGAGTTTGTTTCAGTATGGTATTATTTTGTACATATCTGAAGAGGCACTTGGATACTGCACCTTGTCATTTTCTCCTAACACTATCCTCTTTTGGTCTCACTGTGTGTTGAGTATCTGGAGTTCTGTGTATTTGCCATATTCCAATGTGTAACATCATTTTTAATATAATCTAAAGTGATTATGAAGTTAAAATGGATACTGTAGTCCTGTACTGCCAGGTTGATATTAATCTACTCATTGTAGTTGTTGCCAGCTAAGAGTGTTTAAAATCTTAAGTTAGTCTCTCAGCACAATTTTAACCAAACTTTTCAAGCCAATAATAGGTACGTTAAATGATTTAAGAACATTTCAACCTGCTGTTACTATAAGAATATAGCATGCTCCGTTTCTAAAAAGTGCATAGCTATAACAAAGTAGGAATATCTTTTTTTTCTAATCCAGGGCTGTTTCTTTGTTGTTTATAAAAAGCCAAAGATTTATGGAATTGTTTTCCTTGGGTTCTCTTACCAATTCTGGGGTCAGGATAAGGCACTTCATGCAAATTAGTATAAAATGCTTCCAGTTCAAATGGTTCCTTCTTGTGGAAAGTAATGACTTTTGAGAATGGGGCAGGGTGGTTCTTAGAGAATACTTCACATTCCCTAAAATGCAGTGGAAAATACACTATTTAAAAACAAATAGAAAGTTGTCTATTTAACCTAGTAAACAAAACTGATTTCAATTGTAAAGATCTCTACAAATACAAAGAAAAATAACTGATTTTGCTATAAACTTGCATTTTGGCAAGTTTATGGCTCCAAGTTTTCAGAATGTCTACCATAGTAATAAGGTAAACGTATACTATTAAACAGAGAAAAATACTTGAGTATATTTATGTTTCAATATCAGCATGTAGAGTGTAATTTTTTTGCTTGCAGTTGAGAACCAAGCCCTACTCACTAACTTCCAAAATACTTGTCATATGCACTTCTTTGTATTTCAGCTATTGAAAAAATAAACATTTACTTTGGAAATACTTTCACTTACAGAAGGGTACACAAATAAAGGCAAAACAATAAACCCTTATTATCCTAAACTTAGAATTGCTATTATTTTGTTAAATCCTATGTGTGTCTCATCTTTTTTGTTGTTTTGTTTTTGGTGCCAATATTAGGGCTTGAACTCAGGGCCTTACCTACTTTCTACTCAAGGCTGGCACTCTACCACATAAGCCAGGCCTCTACTTCTGGATTTTTGCTGGTTAGCTGGAAGTAAGTAGGAGTCTCTTGGACTTGTCTGCCTGGGCAGGCTTTGAACTATAATCTTCAAAATTTAGCTTATAGTTCAACTTTTTAATGTACACTCTTACAAGTTTTTTCCTAGGAATGATACAAACATTGCCATTTTTTATACCTACATACTTTGGGAGTGTGCTTCCCAGCAGAGATAAACATTTTAATTTTAACCTATCACCCATATTACAATATTTTCAGGTAATGCCCTTAATGTTATTTTCTGCTCTCTAATACACAAAGTTTTAAACATACCCAGCAATTCCTATTCTTCAGATAGTACAAAGCAAATACAATGTTATGACTATTGTTTGTAGTTGTCTACACAGTTTACTACTGTACATAATCATCATAATACTTCATTTAAGTCTAGAAATTTTTTTCAAACCTTTAGTCACATTTTTTTTATTGTGAAAATACAGTGTAGAGGGGTTACAATTACATGGGCAAGATACAATTACATGGGCCCATGTAATTGTAACCCCTCTGTACAGTATTTTCACAATTAAAAAAAATACTCTTTTAAGTGACTAACTTGGCAATGTTAGTTGATATACTCAGGTTCAAAATTGTACTACATTGCTATTCTGTATATATACCAAACATAACTGGAGAAGGCTGTATGTATAAAAGCTATATATAAATGATACTGCTTAAAATAACAAAAATATCACTTGAAAATTATGACTGGGTTAAGTGTAATATTGCACAAATACTACTGAAAAATAATTATTGTCAGCTTTTTATTTTTGGAGGTGGGGGGTCAGTTGTGAGGCTTGAACACAGGGCCTGGGTTCTATTACTAAACATTTTTGCTCACTTTGAACCACAGTGCTACTTCCAGTTTTCTGGTACTTTCCTGCCTGGACTGGCTTTGAACTGGGATCCTCAGATCTCAGCCTCCTGAGTAGCTAGGATTAAAGGCATGAGCCACTGGCACCCAGCTTTTTTAGTTTTATGTTTATTTTTGTTGGTTACGGGGCTTGAACTTGGGGTTGGGTACTATGTCTCATCTCTTTTGCTCAAGGCTAGCACTCTACAACTTTGGGTCACAGTGCCACAGTGTCACATCTGTCACATCATGGATACTAAATAGATGCATACTTAAAGATATTCAAAACAAAGACCTAAACATATATACTACCTGTTAAAAATGGTTACACCTTTGTAAAATGGGCTAAAGGAGTCTAGGCATGGCCAAATAAAGGTCTTTTAAAATTTGTGGGTTTTTTTTTATTGTGGTTTTCATTGGAGAGGCATAAGCTGGGTGCTCTTGGCTCATGTCTACTATCCCAGCTACTCTGGAAGTTGAAATGAGGACTGAAGTTTGGAGCCAGCCAGGACAGATAAATTTGAGAAACTCATCTCTGATTAACCAGCAAAATGCTAGAAGTGGAAGTGTGGTTCAAGAGCTGAGGTGCCAGCTGTGAGCAAAAAAAAACCTGAGTGACAGTGTGAGGGCCTGAGTTCAAGTCCTAGTACTGGAACACACTCACACACACATAAAAAGAGAAAAGGTAAAGAAAGGAGAAAACGAGATGTTTTATTTTCATAAAAAATATGAACAAATATGCCTATCGTGGTTTTTAAGATATATTATTTTTATATCAATTTAACAGAATTTCAAGAAGAATTCTTATAATTTAGACAAGTAGGTTTAATTGGTTAAAATTTATAAGTTCTTTCCAAGACTTTAAATACAACTTACCCAGTTCCATCTTCGAAAGATGTCTTCCACCTTAGTGTGATTGAATAGGGAACAAGGTCTGTTATTGAAAATTCACGCACCTTAAATGCTGGTGAGAGAATGGCACACTGAAAATAAACATATCATATTTAAATCAACAAATACAAACTATAAGTAAACTGACTTAGTTGCCTAGGAAAGTTCTTACAATAAAACTGTTACATTTAAAATACTTTTTGTTTGGCAAGATGACTCATACTGTGCCTCCAGCGACATATAAAGCAAAGCTAGAAGAGCGTGATCCAGCAAGATCCTGGATCACTAGGAGATCACTTGCTTAGCAAGTGTGAGGCCCTGAACTCAGAACTCAGTACCTCCAAAAACACAAAAAATAAAGCTAGGCCTTGGTGGCTCATATCTGTAATCCTAGCAACTCAGGAGGATGAGATCTGAGGATTATAGTTTGAAGGTAGCCAGAACAGGAAAGTTCATGAGACTCTCATTTCCAATTAAGCAGCAAAAAAACCTGGAATTGGAGCTACAGCTGAAATGGTAAAGCACCAGCCCTGAGTATAAAAGCTAAGAGAGACAGCACCCCGTTCAAGCCCCAGTAAATGGCAAGAAAAGATGAAATAAAAATAAATAAATAAACAAAATGCTATTGCATTTTGGTAATGATTAGTAAAAGTTTTAAAAAGAGCAAGGTAATTCTTATGTGACCTTACAAAAATAATATAAAAATGTAAGTTTACAAAAGGAATTCTATATAGACATAATCCCAAGAATTCATAAAAATAAATGTTCTCTCAGTATGTAGACATATTATCCTATTTAAGTTTATACACATACATAACAAGAAATAAGACTTATTAGGAATAATTTACTTTGTTCTACTGACAAGTAGTTCAGATAACATTAAAAGTCCCTTTCAGAGCTATCATCCATTTCTAGCAAAATACACATTAAAAGAAAATGATACCTGTAAAGCACATCCTCTTGCAACAGCTTCATCAGCATTTAAGGTGGTACTTATGTCTTTAAGAAAAAATTTAGTGATTTGTTCCTTCACTGCAGGAATTCGTGTTGCTCCTCCTACAATTTCTATACTACTTATGTCTTCACATTGTAAGTCTGGAAAGTCAAATGGTTTTTAAAAAGAAAAACAAGATAGTCTTTAAAATAATTGGGCTTTGGAAAGTATTATTTGAAAAATGACAGCAGAGATATTCTGAGTCTTAAAGGAGTTCTTCAATGTTCTGATTTCACCCCACAAATCTATATTGAAGGTATTTTTAGTAAAATACTAAAAATCTTTAATAAAGTATAAGATCCTGAGTTCAAAGTACCACGAAAATTTTTCAAAAAAAGCAATCATGCCAATTTTCTACCTCAATTTCATTTTAAAACCATGCTTACATATAAACATCCCAGGGCATTAGCTTATGATATAAACAAATAAACAAGAAAAAATTATTACAAAGTTTGCTTTGTAGTATCTGTCCTACTTTATGAATGAAAAATGATTTATAAGCGGGGCGCCAGTGGCTCACGCCTGTAATCCTAGCTACTCAGGAGACTGAGATCTGAGGATCTCGGTTCAAAGCCAGCCCGGGCAGGAAAGTCCGTGAGACTCTTATCTCCAATAAATCACTAGAAAACTGGAAGTGGCATTGTGGCTTACTCCGTAGAGCACTCGCCTTGAGCTGAAGAGCACAGGGACAGCGCCAAAGCCCAGAGTTCAAGCCCCAGGACTGACCAAAAAAAAAAAAAAAAGAAAGAAAAATGATTTACAGAGCTGGATGTGGAGGCTGATGCCTATAAACTACTTCCCAACTCCTTCACACAACTACTTAAAGAATAAAATAAAAGCTACTCAAGAAAGTATTGTTACGCAGTCTATGAAAGACCCTATTCAAATAATAATGAAAGTGAAAAGGGCTTGGAGTATGGGCTGAAGTGACAGCGTGCAGCCTGGCAAGTACAAGGCACAGAGTTTGAATCCAAATAGCAATAACCTTTCCCTCCCCCTCAAAAAAAAAAGAGTGACTTATCAAGGGGCCATGCTGGTATACCACTGTAATCCTAGCTACTTGGGAGATGAATGCTGAGAGAATCCCAGTTCAAGGCCAGCCCAGGAAAAAATCTAAGTAAACTCCAGTCAGTCAATAAGCCAGGTAAGGGTGGAATACACCTGTAATCCCATCTGGGGGAGGAGGGGTTGTATATTGCTGGGTACAGGTGGCTTATGCCTTTAATCCTAACTACTTGGGAAAATGAAAATGGGAGTGATGAATCCAACACAGGCAGCCGCTCTACCCACAGCTGGGCACAGTGGCATGTGCCTGTCATCTCAAGCTGTGTGGTTGACAGGACCATGGTACCAGGCCAGCTCATTCACGAAAAGTCTGCAGGAATTTATTCCCATGAAAGAAAGCTGAAGGTGGTGGGCTATGCCTGCGATCTTAGTGGCTCAGGTGCATACCTGGATGGGAGGCAAGATCCTACCTAAAGTAATGAGTGAAAAACAAGACTGGAGGCATGGCTCAGTAGGATATAGCTCAAGTGATAACTCCTCACATTGCCTGGCTTCTGAGGTATAATCTCCTTTTAAAATGAGAGATGCCGGGCGCCGGTGGCTTGCGCCTGTAATCTTAGCTATTCAGGAGGCTGAGATCTGAGGATCACAGTTCAAAGCCAGACCAGGCTTTGAGACTCTTATCTCCAATTAACCACCAGAAAACCGGAAGCGGCACTGTGGCTTAAGCGGTAGAACACTTGCCTTGAGCCAGAGTTCAAGCCCCATGACCAACAATAAATAAATAAATTAATAAATTAATAAAATAAAATGAGAGATGATGAGGGAAGAATGACACTGTCCCAAAAGAAATGTACTTTTTACCAAATATATGTAAATGTAATCTTTCTGTATGTCAGCTTTATAATAGTAATAAATTTTTTAATGAGAAATGGGAATCTTTTAAAGAAAATGAAGTTTTAATTGCTTTTATCACATGATATACTTTCTATATAACAATAATTTCCACTTACTAGCTTGTTCCATTACTGCTTTTAATGGTGGTTCAACCCTAGCAAAGAGGGAAGCACATAATTGTTCAAATTGAGCCCTGTGAGAAAATAAAATTTTGTCATTTTGAGATAAAAAGAGTTCTTCTACTTCAAAAATAACAAGTAAAAAAAAACAAATATGATGTGAGCAATAAAGTCAGCACACAGTTTTCAGACTAAAAATAAATATGGGCTGGGTTCTAGTGGCTCACACTTAAATATATATAGCTTCAGGTGGCTGAAATCTGGGGAGCATGGTTCTAAGCCAGCCCAGGCAGAAAAGACTCTTATCTACAATTAGGCACCAAAAACCAGACATGGAGCCATGGCTCAAAGTGGTAAAACACTAGCCTAGAGCAGAAAAGCTAGCCCCATGACCGACAAAAAATAACAATATATATATGTATATATATATTCACCTGTTCATCTTACTAGAAACATCAAGGTCATTCATGAAACACTCAATGTTCAAAGGAAGATCTGATGCATTTGCACTCATTAGCTTCTTCAGTTTTTCACACTCCTGATATAAACGCAACAAGGCTCGAGAGTTTTCTTTCACACTTATCTTATATTTGGTCTTGAACTCGTCACAGAAGTAGTCTACTAAAGCCTCATCAAAGTTCCTGCCACCCAAATATGGGTCAAAGGTAGTAGCCAATACCTGTTTAATGGAAAGAACACAACTATACTTTAAGAACTTTTTTTGTTTTTTTGCCAGTCCTGGGGTTTGAACTCAGGGCCTGGGCACTGACCCTGAGCTTCGTTTTCCTCAAGGCTAGCACTTGAGCCACAGAGCCACTTCCAGCTTTTCCTGTGTATGTGGTACTGAGGAATCAAACCCAGGCCTTCATACATGCTAGGCAAGCACTCTACCAACTGAGCCACCTTCCCAGCCCAACTATAGTTTAAGAACTTATTTTTCTTCTTATCTCCCCAACCCCCAAAACACCAAAAAACAAAAACTTCTAATACAAAAGGTTAAAAGTTAAAACAAAGCTGAGGGACTTTTCCAAATCTCAAATCTGTGACAAATTTGGAATTAAATTCTTCTTTATATCTAGTTTATAAATTGTCCTACTCTAAATGTTCTAAAACAATTGAATTACAACAAACAAGAACTTCCTCAACTCACTAGTGATTCTACACTAGCACTGAAGCAGAAATCAAGTTTAAGAAAGCAGAAGAAATATTTATCAAAATGAACCCCAGGAAATGGAAACAATAGGTTTTTTCTTTGTTGTTGTTTTTGTTTTCTTTTTGTCTTGTTTGTTTATCTGAATTGGGAGGGTAAGGCAGGACACAGAAATTGAAGGGCAAAGGGTGAATAAATATACTACTAGACACTTTGTTGAAAATGAACTATACCACTTGTGGGTGGAGATGGAGGGAAAAACTGGAAAGGACTGGGCAATGGTGGCTCACGCCTGTAATCCTAGCTACTTAGGAGGCTGAGATCTGAGAATCGAGGTTCAAAGCCAGCTGGGGCAGGAAAGTCCATGAAACTCTTATCTCCAATAAACCACCAGAAAACCGGAAGTGGCATTGTAGCTCAAGTGGAAGAGTGCTCGCCTTGCCTTGAGCTGAAGAGCGCAGGGACAGCGCTCAAGCCCAGAGTTCAAGCCCCAGAACTGACCAAAAAAAAACTGGAAAGGGGCGACACTGACCAAACAGAAATTAACTCTGGGCTGGAAAGGTGGGTCAGTGGTAGAGTGCTTGCCTTGCATGCATGAGGCCCTGGGTTCGATTCCTCAGCACCACTAAGCAGAAAAAGCTGGAAGTGGCAATGTGGCTCAAGTGGTAGAGCCTGCTTCAGCTTGAGCTGAAGAGCTGAAGGACAGTGCCCAGGCCCAGAGTTCAGGTCCCAAGAACAACAACAACAACAAAAAGAAATGTATTCCTTACCAGATTTATGTAAACTGTGTATATCACCTTTATAATAATAATAATAAATTAAAAGCAGCAGAAGAAACAGTTCTAAATATATAAAGACCAAAAACTGAAAAAAAAAGGGTCTAAAGATTTAAGTCAGGATTTAGACTTTTGGTCTACTATTATTTTTAAAATCCCAGCAGACATTTATAAAAACAAATAAAACAAAATATGCAAAGAGTAAAATTTAAACAGAATTTAATAAATTTGTTTAGCAATAAGGCTCCCAGACTATAGTGTGAACATAGGTAAACAAGTTACAGAACTTGAGCACTCTAGGACCAAGACTTTTAGTCTCTCTCCCTAGTGTAAAATGATTACTAAAATTCACTACTAAAGAGTGAGTTCCACTGCTCGTCTAATTCTTAAAAAATTTCTTCATTAGGATGTTTGTGAGCCGGGCACCAGTGGCTCATACCTGTAATCTTAGCTACTCAGGATGCTGAGATCTGAGGATCATGGTTCAAAGCCAGAGAAAGAAAGCAAGAGCAAGAAAGTCAGTGAGGGGCTGGGAAGATGGCTCAGTGGTAGAGCGCTTGCCTTACATGCTTGAGGCCCTGGGTTCGATTCCTCAGCACCACATAAGCAAAAAGAAAAAAGCTGGAAGTGGCGCTGTGGCTCAAGTGGTAGAGCGCTAGCCTTGAGCTGAAGAGCTGAGGGACAGTGCCCAGGCCCAGAGTTCAGGCCCCACGACTGGACCCAAAAAAAAAAAAAAGAAAGTCAGTGAGACTCTTATTTCCAATAAACTACCCAGAAAAAAGACAAGAAGTAGTGCTGTGACTCAAGTGGTAGAATTCCAGCCTTGAGCATAGAGAGGCTCATGGATGGCACCCAGGTCCTGAGTTCAAGTCCCAGGACCGGAAAAAAAAATGTGTGTGTGTGTGTGAGAGAGAGAGAGAGAGAGAGAGAGAGAGAGAGAGAGAGAGAGAGAGAGAGATGAAGAATCACAATATGATGGAAGTACAATCTAAATATATCTTAACAACAGACTACCATAAAGAACCTTTGCATAGACTTTATAAAATGTAATTACCCAAAATTACATGCAAAATGATCTTAGTAGGTGATTAGTACAAGTGAGTATTATTCTCTGAAGAAAGGCCACAGACATCTATTAAACTTTTAAAAGGCTCTTATGATATAAAAAGTACAAATGATTGATCTCTTAAGATTTTCTACTACAAAGGAAAACAATGTTCTTTTTAAATATAGTTAAAATTTAAGAAAGAGGATGAAGGAGGTTGAATATTGTCCAAAGAGATTATCTGCAACTATTAAAATAGAACAATGAAAACTGCCGAAATGGTTTTGGGGCAGCAGGGCATAGGAGAGTGATAGAAAGGGTGAGATTGGAAAACACTAAATTTGTGTGGAAAATATAAAAATGAAATCGTCTTTCATATCTAATATAAGCTAATAAAAATGATAAAGACCAAGCAATAAACCAATTTATACCCTAAACTGTCTTATATTAAGTTGGAATAACATCACCTTAATTTTTTGTACGTTTTTATTGTAAAATTACTGTACAGAGGGGTTACAGTTACATGAGCAAGGGAATGAGTACATTTCCTATTGAGCATTGTTGCCTCATCTTTTGTTTTCCCCCTATATCCCTTCCCTCCCTCCTCCACAACTGCCCCTTTACCCCCGCCGAAGTTGTAAAGTTCTTTTTCAACATAGTGTTTTGTACATCTCATTGTTACAATAGGTCAACCTGTATCCTTATTTAAGCATTTAATTTTCTTATTATAAAGATGTTATAGTACTATAACTATAAGACAATAGACTCTTTTAGGTAAAATCAAAGCACTTTAAGTATATTCACATATATAATAGAGTGTAATTCTGAAATGAAAATAAAACCAAGTATTGATAAGATCATTAGCCCACTGATTTAATGCTACATATACAGAAATTATAATGAGTGTCCTAAATAGAAAAGTTTCTAAAAAACATGCAATATTTTAGAAAATGTTTCCTATTAAGTATGAGTAGTTTATATTTATGGATAATGTATATTCCCTGACAGCTGGCTTAAATGCCTAGAGCAATAAATAGTAATAAAAACCTAGCAAAGCCAGGCGCCAGTGGCTCACGCCTGTAATCCTAGCTACTCAGGAGGCTGAGATCTGAGGATCGTGGTTCAAAGCCAGCCCGGGCAGGAAAGTCCATGAGACTCTTATCTCCAATAAACCACTAGAAAACCAGAAGTGGCACTGTGGCTTACGCGGTAGAGCACTCGCCTTGAGCTGAAGAGCGCAGGGACAGCACCCGTAAAATTGCTGATGATGTCCTCAGACAAGGAAACTAAGGTATGCTCACAATTTTTAAAGGGCAGAGGAAGAATATAAGCCCAGCTACTAAGGTTCTCTATAGAGTCTGTGCTCTTAATCACTAAAGTTAAATATAGTAAATCATGTATTTACTTACTTTAAGTTTTCCTTTGTTAAAAGCACAAACCGAAACCTGATAGGCAGAATGTCCCATATCAATAAATACTACATTTCTTGGTTTCTCATCTAATGGGGGAAGATCCTGTTTATAAATTCCATATGCTAGTGCAACTGTGTAGGAACAAAGAATTAGGTTAATTCTAGTGTAGCAATTACTTGGAAAACAAGAGAAAAGTCACTTTGATACTGTACTTTAATACACAGTACAATAATCTATAAATCTACACTATTAGATTCAAAATAAATTAACTTCATAATTTAGTTTTAATTTTCCCCCACTCATGTATAACTCTATAAAGTAACAATTATTCAAATTCAGGTATAAATGTAAGCTTTGTAAGCAACAAGCTTATAAGAAGCAGTACATAGAAAGACATCAAAAGAGATGCTGTGAAATTAGAAAAAAAGTTTTAAATTATAGACTGATTACCTGCAGTGGTTTCATTCATCAGTCTTAAACAATTTAAGCCTGCAACCTGGGCTGCAGCCATCACAGATCTTCTCTCAGCATCAGTGAAAAAGCTAGGAATCTGATATTTAAAACATAATAATTAGTTTGGCAGTATTAAGGTTTGAATTCAAGGCCTTGTATTTGTGAGACAAAGTACTATACCTCTGAGCTATAGCGCCAACCCCCCCATTTTATTTTGCGTTTTTTTTTATATAGTTACACTTCCTGACTATGACACCTCTGCCTTTCTCTTATTTTTCACTTCTCATCATTGCTAGAAGGACAAGCACAAGCCCTCACACAGCACCGTTTTCTGTTGAGATAGAATCTCATCAATTGTTCTGCCTGGGTTGGCCTGGAGCCACAATCTTTTCCATCTCAACCTCTCCTGTACATAGGATAACAGGCAAATCCCACCACATGCAGCTATTGGTTGAGAAGGGGCCTTCAGTGTTTGCCTGGTTCGTTCTTGAACCTTGATCCTCTTGCTTTCAGCCTTCTAAGTACTTTGCATTATCAGTGTGAGCCACTTGTACCCACTTGTATGTAAAAGATTTTACGTAAATATTTTTCAATTAAAAAACGTACAATAATTGCACTAAAACTCATGTAAGTTGTAGCAAAAGAGGTTTTTTGTTTTCTTTTGTTTTGTTTTTGGTGAGTCATGGGGCTTGAACTTAGGGCATGGGTAGTGCTGTCCCTGAGATCTTTTGCTCAAGGCTAGCCCTCTATCACTTGGAACCACAGCACCACTTCCAGTTTTCTGGTGGTTAATTGGCAAAAGTCTCATCGACTTTCCTGCCCCAGCTGGATTTAAACCACAATCCTCAGATCTGAGTAGCTGGGATTACAGGCATGAGAGACTGAGCACTAGATGTTCACTACATAAAAAAATACTAGTGCTTTTTTTATTTTACAATTTTTTTTTTTTTTTTTGGTCATCACGGGGCTTGGACTCTGGCCTGGGCACTGTCCCTCAACTCTTCAGCTCAAGGCTAGTGCTCTACCACTTGAGACACCACATCACCTCCAGCTTTATCTGCTTATGTGATGCTGAGGAATCAAACGCAGGGCCTCAAGCATGCAAGGCAAGCACTCTACCACTGAGCCACTTTCCCAGACCCATTATTTTACAAGTTCTTTTTATTTTTATTATTAATAAGTTTTTTTTTGTGAATTTACCATACAGAGAGGTTATAATTACATGAGCAAGGTAACGAGTACATTTCTTATCAAGCATTGTTGCCTCCTCCTTTGTTTCCCCTTACCATCCCTGCCCTCCTATCTTCCCCCCCCACAATTTCTTTATCATAAAGATTTAACCCAAAGAAAGAGCACTAAAGCAATCAATAATATGACAAGATAGTCAAACTTTTGCTAATCTAAACTCTTCCTCTGTAGTCTGGTTGGTATGGTTTGGCTATTGTTTGTCCCCAAAGGTTCATGTGTTTGGAACTATTCACAATGTAGATCTTGCATAGGTCCAAGCTGGGTCAATTGGAGGCAACCACTGGTACCTGCCTAAAGTAATTTCTTTAAAAAAGGTAAAGTTAAAAAGAATTCAGGTTATTTGCTAGAATAGGAACCAAAGTATACAGGGAAGAAAAACCTTTCTATACAACGTTAGCGGAAAATATGATTTACTAAAGTAATAAAACTTACTGAAATTACACAGTCAGCCACTGGTTTCTTCAAAGCATTTTCTGAAGTCTCTTTAAGCTTAGCCAACAGCATTCCAGTAACTTGCTCAATTGCAAAAGGTCTCTCTTCTTCTAAGTACCGCACCTAGAACAAAAAGTTGTGATACTGTCATTTTTTATCCAACAAATATTTAGTCAGCATCCACACTATACATGAGCTATTTGTTAGTGAAAAAGACAAAATAAAGGGAGTTTTACTGAAGAAAGATTGTCATTTCATAATCATTACCTCCTTGAAAACAGTGACTGAAACTCTTATTTAGAAGGTTATAGTGTTAGCTGGGCGCCGGTGGCTCACGTCTATAATCCTAGCTCCTCAGGAGGCTGAGATCTAAGGATCACGGTTCAAAGCCAGCCCGGGGCAGGAAACTCCATAAGACTCTTATCTACAATAAAAAACACTAGAAAACCAGAAGTGGTGCTGTGGCTCAAGCAGTAGAGCACTTGACTTGAGCTGAAGAGCTCAGGGAAAGCACCCAGGCGCAGAGTTCAAGCCCCACAACTGACAAAAAAAAACAAAAAAAAAAAAGAAAAAAGAAAAAAGAAGGTTCCAATGTCTGACCAAGTAAATTATCTTCAAGTGTCTCTAACCTCTTTTTTTTTTTTTTTTTGCCAGTCATGGTGCCTGAACTCTGGGCCTGGGCACTGTCCCTCAGCTCTTCAGCTCAAGGCTAGTGCTCTAACACTTGAGCCACAGCACCACTTCCAGCTTTTTCTGCTTATGTGGTGCCGAATTGAACCCGGGGCCTCATGCATGCAAGGCAAGTGCTCTACCACTGAGCCACCTTCCCAGCCCCTCTCTAACCTCTTCCGACTCCACCTCCCACAAAAGGAATTTTTTTCATTGCTTTTGCAAGTGTGATAAACAATGAAGGAGAAAAAGATCAAATAATTTCTCTTGAGAGTTAACATTAAAAGCTTTAGTTGAGAGTTAACATTAAAAACTTTAGTTAGTGGGCTGGGAAGGTGGCTCAGTGGTAGAGCGCTTGCCTTGCATGCTTGAGGCCCTGGGTTGGATTCCTCAGCACAACATAAGCAAAAAAAAAAAAAAAAAAAAAGAAAGAAAAAGAAAAAGAAAAAAGCCAGAAGTGGTGCTGTGGCTCAAGTGGTAGAGCACTAGCCTTGAGCTGAAGAGCTGAGGGACAGCACCCAGGCCCAGTGTTCAGGTCCCACGACTGGACCCCCCAAAAAAAAAGCTTTAGTTTTTTTTCTGCTTATGTGTTGTTAAGGAATCGAACTCAAGGCCTCATGCATGCAAGGTAAGCACTCTACCACTGAGTCACCTTCACAGCCCCTACTTTAGTTTTAAGAAAAGGAAATAAAGACATCAGAAAAAATTCCTTAATAAAAATAGGCAATTAGGGCTGGGAAGGTGGCTCAGTGGTAGAGCTCTTGCCTTGTATGTATGAAGCCCTGGGTTTGATTCCTCAACACCACATAAGCAGAAAAAGCCGGAAGTGGCGCTGTGGCTCAAGTGGTAGAGCGCTAGCCTTGAGCTAATGAGCTGAGGGACAGCGCCCAGGCCAAGAGTTCAGGCCCCACTACTGACCAAAAAAAAAAGACAATTAAATGTGTATTAATATGGAGTTAGGGCTGGGAATGTGGCTTAGAGGTAGAGTGCTTGCTTACGTAGTATGCATGAAGCCCTGGGTTCGATTCTTCAGTACCACATAAACAGAAAAAGCCAGAAGTGGCACTGTGGCTCAAGTGGTAGAGTGCTCAAGAACCCAGGCCCTAAGTTCAAGCCCCAGGATTGGCAAAATAATAATAGTAGTAATAATAATAATAATAATAATAATAATAAGTAGTAGTAGTAGTATTGGAATATGGAAATTTGAAAATTACCTTAATGACTTACATTTTAATGATTAGACTGCATTTTGGCACATAAAATCAAATAGGTGAGGAACTCATACTTTATTCAAGTAATCAAATGTTTATGAGAATCACAAAAAGTAAAAATTCCTAAACTTGTATCAAATAATTTTTTTTTTTGGTGCTAGTCCTGGGGCTTGAACTCAGGGCCTGGGCATTGTTCCTAAGCTCTTGTGCTCAAGGTTAATGTTCTAATAATTTGAGCCACAGTTCCAATTCCAGCTTTTGGGGGTGGTTAACTAGAGGTAAGAGTTTTATGGACTTTACTGCCAGAGATGGCTTTGAACTATGATCTCAGCCTCAGATTACAGGTGTGCGCCATTGGTACCTGCCTAAAGTAATTTCTTTACAGAAGTGCTATCTTGGAACTCATTTAATATAACTATATTAAATGCAACAATTAAAAACTTAAATTTTATTTTATCTCTGGACTTCCAGAGTAGAGTAATTTTATTCCATAAAACAAACTTTTAAAGTTTAGATTTTTGGAGCATAATGTATTTATGTGTATAAATATGGATAGATAGGGATTTAAGTCAGACCTAACATTGATTTCCACTTGTTTTCAAATCAAACGCTAGTCAAATTATCGCCTTTTAAACAAGAAAGTAGCCAGGTGCCGGTGGCTCATGCCTGTAATCCTAGCTACTCAGGAGGCTGAGATCTGAAGATCGTGGTTTGAAGACACTCAAAAACCAGAAGTGGAGCTTTGACTCAAAGTGATAGAATGCTGGCCTTGAACAAAAAGAGCTCGGGGACAGCATCCAGCCCCTGAATTCAAGCCCCACAACCAAAAAACAAAACAAAACACAAAAGCAAGCAAAAAGCCAAGGAAGTAGACAGAAATAAAACATATACCATGGTCTTAGTGTGACAGAGACACAACAGAACAGTATTCCTTTGTTTAAAATTTAGACGAAAATTTTCAAAAAGTGTACAAAAAATAAATGGATAAAATGTAGGAGGAAAACTATGACTGCTAGGCCTGGTGGTCCATGCCTCTTATCTACTCAGAAGTCAGAGCTCAAGAGCATCGGGATTTTGCCCTTTTTTTGCCTGGAGATCAAGACCTCATTTCAACTATCAAAATGGGTATAGTTAGTATTGCACACTGATAATTCACATGCTAGTAATACCAACTACAGAGGAGGAATAAATATGATCCTGGTACAAGGAAACACATGAGACCCTTTGTGAAAGAAAAAAAAAGAGGTATGGCTTAAGTAGCAGAGTACCTGTAGGCAAGCTCAACACCTTGAATTTCAACCCCAGTTTAAAAAAAAAAAAAAAAAAAAAGACTTGGAAGGACACAGTATGACATTTTCACACCCTTAACAACTCATAGTAGTTATATTGTTGGGGTCTATTTTTCCAAACCACATAGGCTTCTAACCTCTAGCTCCTAAAAGTTTTCACCTCTTTTTTTTTTTTTTTTAATTTTTTTGGGTCCCGTCGTGGGGTCTGAACTCTGGGCCTGAGCGCTGTCCCTCAGCTCTTCAAGGCTAGCACTCTACCACTTAAGCCACAGTGCCACTTCTGGCTTTTTTCTTTTTGCTTATGTGGTGCTGGGGAATTGAACCCAGGGTCTCAGGCGTGCAAGGCAAGCACTCTACCACTGAGCCACCTTCCCAGCCCCATCACCTCTTAAGAGTTCTCCAAATAATAATACTTTCTTCCTTGACAATCAAAGTACTATTTGGATTTTAAAATTATCTAAATTTGATTTTTTTAGCATTCACTAAAAATGATTTCAAAAATTGGCTCTTGGGTGTGTTCGTACTATATTCCAAGGAACAAATGTTAAACTGTAATTTACAACTAACAAAACTCATTTTTTTGTTTCTTCTTTAGTGTGACCTTGTAGTTGTACCCTAGGGAAATAAAAATTACCTTAACTCCTGCACTTCCATTAGGCATCTTCTGCAGTTCATAGGGAAGCCTGATTCTTTCAGTTTGCACAATGGGATCATCGAATGCTCGCCCATGAAGCTTTTTGAAGCCATGTATTGTATTTCTTACATTTGTGACTATCTGTTGGCAGTAAAACACTTGCATTGGGTAAAACTTTGAATTACCAATTATATAATAAATGCAAAATAAAATACTATCCTAATAGTTAAATCCACCAAATCCCTTTATCCTATACATCCAAGTTTACAATTACACAGCATTTTTCTGAGTTCTAGCCAAGAGTAAAGTTATGAGGCAATGAGAATGTATGTATCTTAAGTATTGTCTCAAATTCTCTTCTAAGAATTTCTCTCTTCAAAGTAGAATAAAGGCTTAAAACTTTTCAAATATTAATATGAAATTTTACAAGTCACCTTTATTTATTGAATATATTTATTCTAGTGGGTGAGTAGCCTTGATTTTTTACTTTCCTGTCTTTTTATTTAAAACTATCTTTTTAAACTATTATCTAGTTTTAGCCAGATGCTAGTGGGTCATGCCTGTAATCCTAGCTTCTCAGCAGGCTGAGATATGAGGATTGCAACTTTTAGTCAGCCTGGGCAGAAAAGTCCATGAGACTCATCTCCAGTTAACCACCAAAAAGTTGGAAGTTGTGCTATAGCTCGACTTCGAATGAAAAAAAACAAGCAAGAGTGTGAGTCCCTGAGTTCAAGTCCCAGTACTAGCACCAAAAAAACTTACATATATGTTTGTGTGCATATATACACAGTTTTTATTTTCTTCAGAATATGTAAGTTTAATGATATTGTATGATGATCTCATTATTGAGAATTACTCTTAAGCTAGTAAATTAAAATTCATTCCATGTACTATAATATATAAATGACCTGTATTTTTATACAGTAATATTTTATCCAATTACTATGCAATTTAAACTACAGACTACTACTGAGATCCAGTATCTTTTTGTAAATAAGTTTTTTACTGAAAAAATGCTGTACAGAGGGGTTACTGTTACATGAGAAAGGTAATGAATACATTTCCTATCAAGTATTGTTGCTTCCTCCTTTGTTTTTTCCCTACCATCCCTTCCTTCCCCACCTCCCCAACTACCACTCCCTCAAGATCCAGTATCTTAGTGACCTATAAATCTTGATCTTCAATTATAAGATGAAAACTATAGAGAAGCTTGATTAATTTGTACTTAGGAGAAATTATTCTATAGACTGCTTTCTTTAAAACTCTGATAATCTATGGTATACTTAGAAGGTAAGTCAAAGTGAGATACAAATTTAAGGGAGTAATTTTAGCACAAATTCAGCATTTATGTCCAATACAAAGGGAGAAAACGTAAATATATAGGAGAATTATAAAAGACAGACTTACTAAAAATCATAAGCAAAAATTTCTGGAGAGTCAGTTATTTCTATAAAGTAAGAAAAAAACCTAATAAAGAAAAGTATTTTAAGAGAATGAAAAAAATAGATGTAGCTTATATAAAATTTAAAAAATAATGGTAAGGGCTTTTAGTTCAAGGAAATAAAGTACAAAAAAAATCAAGCTATAGTACAAAAATATTAAAATATACTTAATTAGTAGCAAAGACATTGCTTACTAATTACTAAAATGTAGCTTTAAAGAGTATTACTCATCCAGGGAGCCCGGTGCCAGTGGCTCATGCCTGTAATCCTAGCTACTCAGGTGGCTGAGATCTGAGAATCACGGTTCTAGCCAGCCCAGGAAGAAAAGTCCGTGAAACTCTTATCTCCAATAAACCACTAGAAAATCAGAATGGTGCTGTAGCCCAAGTGGCAGAGTGCTAGCCTTGAGCTGAAGAGCTCAGGGACAGCACCCAGGCCCAGAGTTCAAGCCCCACAACCAACCAAAAAAAAAGAGTATTACTCATACACGGGGCTGGGAAGGTGGCTCAGTGGTAGAGTGCTTGCCTAGCATGCATGAGGCCCTGGGTTTGATTCCTCAGCACCACATAAACAGAAAAAGCCAGAACTGGTGCTGGGGCTCAAGTGGTAGAGCTCTAGCCTTGAGCTGAAGAGCTGAGGGACAGCGCCCAGGCCCAAAGTTCAAGACCCACGGACCGACCAAAAATAAAAAAAGGATTATTTCTCACACAAAGTGACCATATGAGTATTTGTCACCCTCGAGATGACCACCTCAGATTATTAAAAGTGTGTTCCTTTTCTATCATTTTCACTAATAGGAAACGAATGACCATAAAAATAAAATTCAAAGAATATTTTACAACTCCAAACACAGTATCTCTAATAAAATATAAACAAATTAAATCTAGTCAAATATGAAGGTATTTGCAATCTCAATTATATAATGTTATAACTTAGTTACATGATTAATTCCTAAGGCAAAATATCCACATAACAATTACCTGGCTCTTAGCTGCATTTCCAATGGCTCGAGTTCTTGATCCCAAAGATATACAGGCCCTACGTAAGAGATTTTAAAAATTTAAATGATATCATTTTATTGTATGCTTGTTACTCTTTATACAAAAATAAATTTTAAAGGATTAAGATGAAATGATTAGAATCAATTAGAATAATAATTTTTAACTAATTTAAATTAAAAATTTATGTGTTTTAGAAGTGGCACTGTGGCTGAAGTAAGTGCTAGCCTTGAGCACAAAAAGGCTCGGGGACAGTGACCTGAGTTCATACCCACAACTGACAAAACTAAATAAATAAAAATGTATTTTTAAACTTTTCTAAGTAACAGAATGCAAGTCAGAATGTTGAATTCTTTAAAATGTTCTTAACATTAATTACAAAAATAGACTTTCAAATTCAATTGCTCTGTGACCTGTTTTAAAAATTATCCATATTTAATGAGGAAGGGCTGCTTAAATTTACAGCATACCTCTGCCACTTAATAGCTAAAAAACCTTGTAGAAATCACATAATCATTATGTGCTTCAGCTTTTTGTATAGAAGATATGATAATACAAGGTTATGTGAGAATTGGGAGATTGAATATAGGTAAATTCTTTGCATTTCATGTTTCTGTGATTTTAGTTAAGTATAGAAACTATCAGTCAAGCAACTGTATATGTGTCTGTGTGTGTCTGTGTGTATAGCTAGATAGCTAGCTAGCTAGATGCCACAATTCCTGTTCTTAGAGAACCTATAGTCTATAGGACTGATAATCATCACTTATAGACAATAGGGTTTAGGAAAAGCCAGAGGAAACCTGACTTCAGACTTGATAGGTGGTAAAAATATTATCTCTTTCTCCCCCACTCTCTAAATGTGTGTGTGTGTGTGTGTGTGTGTGTGTGTGTGTCTCGGACCTTCCAAATATATATACATATATATGTCTGGCTGAAAGAGACATTCCTAGTTCAAAGGTATACTTGTGGTTTGGATATAGTTAGTCTCCCAAAGGTTCATGTGTTCAAAATTTGGTACTCACTGTAACAGCATTAATGTGGGGGCATAGTAGAATATGTTTAGATCATGAAGCACCACCCTTGCATGGGATTAACACCTATTTCAGAGGAATAAAGTAGGTATCCTGTGACTGGATTAGTTCTCAACAGAGTAGTCTGTCACAAATGTGGCTTCCTATGTGCTTGGCCCATTTTACACATGGCAAGCCAAGCCCCTCTTTGGATCTCTGACATGTGACACAGCTGAAGGACCCTGGCTAGATTACCAACATAGTGCTATTTGAATCCTCCAGCCATCAGTATCATGTTTTGAGCATGGGTGTGTGCATATGTTTAGTCTGCTTTGTTCTTTTTTGTTGTTGTTGTTGGTCATAGAACTTGAACTCGGCCTGGGCGCTGTCCCTCAGCTCTTCAGCTTAAGGCGAGCATTCTACCTCTTGAGCCACAGCATCACTTCCAGTTTTCTAGTGGTTTATTGGAGATCAGAATCTCACATACTTTTCTGCCCGGGCTGGCTTTGAACTGTGATTCTCAGATCTTAGCCTCCTGAGTAGCTAGGATTACAGGCGTGAGCCACCTACGCCTGGCTGCTTTGTTCTTTTGCCCAGGTCAGCCTTGGACTATGATCCTCCTACCTCCACCTCCACCTCCAGAGTAGCTAGGATTATATTCCCCATGCCTGGCTGTTTGCTCCTTTCTTTGCTCCTTACCACCAAGAATTCAAAAACCTCTCAATTTTATTATACACATTTTAAAAATAACCCTATTTTTACTTTTACTTTTCCCTTGTCAGTTATAAGATCACAGTATTTTTTATTTTTCTGCTATCATAGAGTTGATGCTAATAAACACAGCTTAGTCTAGTGCCAGTGGCTCATGCCAGAAATTCTAACTACTGTGGGAGGGTGGGGGGTCGGGGGGATGGGGCGCCTGAGCCAATGGTTCAAAATGAGCTGGGGCAGAAAAATTCAAGAGACTCCATCTCTAACAGAACCAGAAGAAAAAAAAAAAAGCAGAGATGGGGGTGTGGCTCAAGTAGTAGAATGCCAGCTGAACAAGCAAGCAGAGTTGCAGGACCCTTAGTTCAAACCCCAACACTCCTAAACAATATCAACAACATAATGTTGGTTAATAATAGTGAGATAACAACCAATAGGTTTAAATCAAGTGCAAATTTTCAACTGCTGGGCATCTAGTTTCAACAATGGTTGCTAAGATATCCAGAAAGCAGTATTTTTCAACTTTGACACTTCTAACATTTGCACTAGTTCTTGGTTAGAAGAATGGAGAGGTATATACTGTAGCATTTTAGGAGTATTCCTGGCGTCTGTTCATTAGAAGCCATTAATAGATACCATACAGACATTTAAATAGAGATCTAGTATTTTAAAAGCTGATCACATGCTGGGCATGGTGGTGTATGCCTATAATCCCATAACTTTGGGTGTTGAGCAGGATTATGAGCTTAAGGCTAACCTAAGCCAGGGAGTTTGGGGTCAGCCTGGGCTACATAGTGAGACCTTGTCTCAAAACAAAACAAAACACCTGATCAGGTAGAGTACTAACATTATTTAATTATTATATTGTTACATTAGATAATTTTTTAAAGTGGTCATAAAAATTTATTCAACACAAACACAAATATACTGATATATAACAATTTTAACATTCTTTTTAATTATAACTTCCTGGAACTCATTGTAGCAGGTTTTCTTTTTAAGTTTTATTGGAACATAGTAATGGCCATTAATTTCTACTCTAATGACTATATATTTAAAAGACTATCAGTGGTATATCAGATGTTTAGCACTCAAGATATACCACTTGTATTTACCATTCCTTGGCTTCTTGGAACTATGCAGAATTTCTCACCCACAAGATAAAGGTGATGAGTACATTTATGATGTGTTTTGTTGCATTTGTATTAAAAGACTTTTTCAAAATTAGTCTTAGCTTTGGCTACACTCAAGTTCTATTGACTGCCCTTCCAGTTACCTCAACATATCTGATTTAAAAGAAAAAGGCCATCATGTTCACCAAATTTTTGTTTTTCAAAGACAATAATAGGACATATCTGTGGAGGCAGGTATGAAGACCCGAATTAAAACTACAGTACCACAGAAAAGACAAAAAAATAGTAACTACACATAATAACTTATCTATGTACAAGTTTGAGATGTGTACTATTTATGTACACAGACATGATTCGTACTTATCTAGGATGGGTGCTTATCTATGTTTGAGATGTGTACTATATTAAGATTGGATAAATAGGAGTGCATCCATGAGTTTCTACACAACAAAGGACATATCTAGCAAGACAAATAGAAAGGCCATAGAACAGGAGAAGATCTTTATTAAAATATACTTAGTGCTCAAAAAAATGAAACTCCCAAAAAAACAAATCCTCAAGGAAACAACAAACCAATTAATAACTGGGCTAAAGAAAGACTTCTCAGAAGAAGAAAGAATGACCAATAGACATGTGAGAGATATTCGACATCTCTGGCCATAAAAGAAATGCAAACCAAAACAACATTGAGTTAGAATGGCCATTATCAAGAGCACTAACAGTAACAGATGCTGGCAGGGATGTGTCAAACTGGTAACACTACCATTCTGTTGGTGGGAATCTAAACCTGTTCAACCACTCTGGAAAACAGTATTGAGATTCCTCAAAAAACTAAATGTAGACCTTCCCTATGACCCAGCAATCCCACTTCTTGGCATTATCCAATGGACCACAAACCGGGCCACACTAAAGCCATCAGCACAACCAAGTTCACTGCAGTATTGTTTGCCATAGCCCCAGGACAGGCACACACAAAAAATTAAGTTAGTTTCATTAACTCTCTACTGAGAAGGTTTCTGAGCCCGGAAATTCATTATCTTTCTTCTGGTTCTGATTTCTGATGCTCTAGAAATAAAACTTTAAAATGCTAGAGAATGTTCAGCTGAGCTCTACCCCTTTTTGTTTCTAGGCTGAATCCCTCAAGTCAAGAAGTATGACAAGCCGGCGCCGGGGGCTCACTGTCATCTGGCTACTCAGGAGGCTGAGATCTGAGGATCACGGTTCAGAGCCAGCCTGCGCAGGAAAGTCCGTGAGACTCTGACCTCCAATGAACCACCAGAAGACGGGAAGTGGCGCTGTGGCTCAGCGGTAGAGCTGAAGAGATGAGGGACAGCGGCAGGCCCGGAGTTCAAGACCAGGGGCCGACAACAACAACAAAAACGTCTGGCGACTAGCCTTTGGTTGCGGAGTGGAATTTCCTGGTCCTGTTCTGGAAGGACGCCACCCGGGCTGCAGCGACCTCGTCTCGGGGTCGAGCCTCGCCAGCCCGGCGTCCCCGGCCCAGCCCTCTCGTGAAGTCCCCGACCCCGACCCCTCCGCACGGCAGCGCGGGGGGCGCTTTCGGGGCGCCCGCCATTCCGTTTCCAGGCCTGCTCCTGCCCCGGGGCCGCGGTCCGAGCAGCGGGAGCACGGCGGAGGGCGCCGCGGGCACGGGGCCGAGGCCAGGCCGCCCGCCCGCGCCCGCGCCCGCGCCCGCAGCCGGGGCCGCGGCAGGCGGGAGCGAGCGGCGGGCACGCAGGCCCCTCGCGCCGCACTTACGGGGTGCACCTGTCGCTGTACTCGTTGGCGATGGTCTCGATGCCGCCGCTCCGCGCCACGGCGATGTAGCAGTTGAGGAAGCCGAGGTCGATGCCCACCACGGACATCCCGCCGCCCAGGCGCCTCGGCGCGGGGCCGCGGGGGCCGCGACTCCTACGAGAAGCACAGGGGAGAGGACGCGCGTGGCGACTCCGAAATCCGGGGCCGGGCGCCGCGCCACTGCGGAGGTCGAGGCCGCGCACCCAGCGCCGCGGCCGCGTCCCGACGCCCCCGCCTCGCCACTGCGGTTCGGCCGCCTCCAACCGGCGGTTACGGGGTCTGCGCCTGCGCGCTCGGCCGCGGGGGCGCGCGAGCGGCGCTCGGCCTCGGCAGCGGGGCCGCGACCTCGGCCGCGGCCGCCTGCGCCCGGGCAACGGCCGCCGGGGCGGCCGCGGGCGCGAGAAAGACCCGGAGAGCGGAGCCCGCGCTGCCGGTGCGGACGGCCGGAGGGGAAGGCAAGGCGGGGCCGAGCGCGCGGGGAGGAGGCGGGCGGCGAGGCGGCGGGGCTGGGAGGCCCGCGGCCCGGCGCGCGCTGCGGGGCGCGTCTGCGGCCGGCTCCTCGGTCGCTCGGCAACCAGAGACGCGCCTGTCACCGCGCGGCCCCGCGTCCGGGCGCGGCCGGCGCCCGCCCCGAGCCTTCGCGCTGGCCACCCGGCGCCGCCTCTCGGCCACCGCGAGCCGCCCGCAGTCCGCGCACACCCGCCGGCCTCGCCGCCCCACGGGGCCCGTGCGGCGCGGCGCGCTCCGCGGATGGCGCGTCCTGCCGCCGCCGCGCCGGGCTCTGTGCGGTGACGGGTGTGGCCGGGTCTGTGAGGGGAGGGGTGTGGCCGGGTCTGTGCGGTGACGGGTGTGGCCGGGTCTGTGCGGTGACGGGTGTGCCCGGGTCTGTGAGGGGAGGGGTGTGGCCGGGTCTGTGCGGTGGTCGCCCGGCGTGGCCGGGTGTGTGCGGTGGTCGCCCGGCGTGGCCGGGTGTGTGCGGTGGTCGCCCGGTGTGCCCGGCGGGCCCCGCGCCTGCTGAGCCTGGCCCGGGCGGGGTGCAGCCTCGCCCTCCCCGCGGTGACCCGGGCACCTCACACTCACCACGCCCGGCCTTCCTGTTCCGCCTGCGCCTGGCCCGCCGCCGGTCCCCGCGCGCCTCCCGCGCCTCCCGCGCCCGGCGGGGCCGTCCCGCGGTGGGCGGCCGCGGTGACAGCGGCCGGGCCGGCGCCGGGCGCGGCGGGAGCCCCGGGCGCAGGGCGCCGCCTGGCGGAGCTCAGGCATTTCACGAGGAGCAGCACGAGGGCGGCCGCGGCCAGCGTGGCGATGGCGCCCACCAGTGTGGTCGGGACGAATGGCAAATCCATCTTCGCGGCAGCTCCGCGGGCGCCGGGATCCACGGGTGGCGGGGCTCGGGGCTCTCGGAGGAGCGCGGGCTGGGGGGCCTCGCGGGCGGCGCCGGATTGGCTGCCGCTGTGTCCCGCAGAACCCCGGGGGTCCCCGGCTTCCACGGCTCAGTTGCCTCACCAGCCACCGTCCCGGGGCCGCGGGCCGCCGCCATCCGCGCTGGGGCTCCACCGGGAGCGCTGGAGGCTCTGCTTCCACTGGTGGTGGAAGAATGACTTTGCCAAGAAAATATAAGCAGGGTGTCATGCTAGCTACTCGGGGGGCCGAGAGGGGAGGATCCCGTTCATCTCCACTGACCACTGGAAGTGGCTCCAGTGGTAGAGCACTCGCCTTGAGCTGAAGAGCTCGGGGACAGCGTCAGGCCCAGAGTTGAAGACCCACTACCTACAAAATAAAAATACCAAAAAGTTGATGGTAGGAACAGGGGTTACCACATTCTTTACAAATAACAGGAGGGCGAGAGAGTACCTAGTAGTAAAAACTCTAACAGGTAGGCCAGGCGCTGGTGGCTCACATCCATACTCCTAACTATTCAGGAAACAGATCTGAGGATCCTGGTTTAAAGCCAGCCCCAGCAGGAAAGTCCCTGTGACTCTAATTATCTCCAATCAACCAACAAAAAACTGCAAGTGGGGCTGTGGTTCAAAGTGGTAGAGCACTAGCCTTGAGCAAAAGAGCTCACGGACAGTGCCCAGACCCTGATTTCAGTGCCTAGGACTGACCAAAACAATAACAGGCTTTTTGTAGTGACATGGATTCGCGATGTGTAGATTTGGCTGGTGATTTCACATAGGATATTTGCATCTATATTCACAAATGAGAGTGGGTCTTTCATTTTTCTACCTTAACTTTGCCTTCTGAGACCAAATTACACTAGTAGTATGGAAGAAGTTGAAGAGGTTTCTTGTCTTTGGCAGTTTTGATATGCTTATAAGCTATCTTGGGCTGAACCTTATGAGTAGACTTATGATCACTGATCAAATTTAGTATTGTACTTGTTTCATGATTGGTGCTATTTTGGATAGTGATTATATTTTTATTAAAAACTTAAAGCTTGAGGCTGGGAATGTGGCTCAGTGGTAGAGTGCTTGAATTGCATGCATGAGGCCCTGGGTTCGATTCCTCAGCACCACATAAGCAGACAAAGTCAGAAAGAAGTGGCACTCACTGTGGTTCAAGCAGAGTGCTAGCCTTGAGCTGAAGAGCTGAGGGACAGCGCCCAGGCCCACAGTTCAGGCTCCATGACAAACAAAACAAAAAAAAAAAACTTAAAGCTTTACGTAAATCTTCAAACTTGTTGGTACATAGTTGATTATAAGCTAAAAATCAATTATGTACCTACACATCTTTTTCATTCTTAATATTATGTATTTTTCTTCTACTTTTGGTTTTTATCATTACTAGTTTGCTGAAAGAATCAGCTTTTGATGCTTAATTTTCCTTATATCTTTTTTTTGTTCATCTGCTCTTTTATTCCCTTCTATATTTTTACTGATTTTTTTCTATCAAACACCTAGCTCATTAATTTTCAGTCTTTCCTGTTTTCTAATTCATAAATTTTGACACTTTAAATTGCTTGTTGGTTCTTTTTGAAAGAAATATGTAAGGTAGCAAAGGACTAGTGGAACATCTGAAGAAATATTTTGTTTTTTCCTAACACTTGAGCTCCTGAGTAGTTATTTCATCCTAATTGGCTCATTAGGTTGTGTGTTTCATTTTTCATTGGAGAAAAAAAAATACACCATCCCTTATTTCAGATGTAAGATATGCCAGGTGAATATTTTCCGTAAATACCTTAAACTCATCGTTACTGGGGAAAAATATCCTCAAATTTTTAGTAATGAATGAGCACAGAAACATCTTTTGGGTATTAACATCCCATGTTGCAAGGATTTTCTGCAAATTACCTTTAAGTTTTGCATCTGTGACAAGCTTAAGGGCATGCTGATTTGGGCCCTGTACATTAGGTGGGTAGCATTACACACTTAAAGACACCTAGCTATTCCAAAAGTATTTATCCACAGTTATATTAAAACTGAACAAAAGCAGTTCTGATAAAAACTGCATCCATAGCTGAGCACCAGTGACTAAGTCCTAGCTATTCAGGAAGCTGGGATCTGAGGATCTCGCTGTTTGAAGCCAGCCCAGCAGGAAAGTCAGTGACACTCTTCTCTCCCATTAACAAACAAAAAAAAAAAAACAAAAAAACCCAAAACCCAAAATCAGTGCCTGGAGCAGAAAAAAAAAAAAAAGGTGCATTTAAAAACCCATTACAATTTAAAATGACTTTTTTCAATCAAAGGCTCCCATTTTGAATTTTTTTTTTATTTAAGAAGGGGATTATACACAAGATAAAATATTTCACCGTTACTGCTATAAAATGTCCTACTCTCAAGACATCAAAATATGTGGGAAGGTGGTTCAGTGGTAGAGTGCTTGCCTTGCATGCATGAGGCCCTGGGTTCGATGCTTCAGCACTACATAAGCAGAAAAAGTTGGAAGTGGCGCTGTGGCTTAAGTGGTAGGTTGCTAGCCTTGAGCTGAAGAGCTGAGGGACAGCGCCCAGGCCCAGAGTTTAGGCCCCACAACTGAAAAAAGCTACTTTTTTTTCCCTCTTGCCTAATAATAAACACTGAGGGACAAGTCAACAAATGTGTAAACTGGCAAAACAAATATTGAGGAGAAGGAACTTCTTGATGTGTTCAAATCAAATATCACCTTTCAAAGAAAACAACAACAACAACAAAAACGCAACACCTTTTTTAGGGGGTGGTCAGTCATGGGGCCTGAACTCTGGGCCTGGGCACTATCCCTCAGCTCTTCAGCTCAAGACTGTACTCTACCACTTGAGCCACAGCGTCACTTCCAGTTTTTTCTGCTTATTTGGTGCTGAGGAACCGAACCCAGGACCTCATGCATGCAAGGCAAGCATTCTACCACTGAGCCACCTTCCCAGCCCAAAACCTTCATTTTTGAATTCCCTTCTAAACACACACAAAAAAGACAAGTTTAATATTATACAGAAGTATTGTTTTGCTGTGGCAACATCTATAGCCACTTTAGTCACAAATGTACCTATTAAACACAATTACTGCTTTGAGAGGATCTTGAATTTGTTAAAACTAGAAAATCTTTGTATAGGGGCTCAAATCTTTAGACTTCTGCTGTGTTTAGAAATTGCCATCAAATCCTCCTACTGCATAAATGTTACCTTCAGTTGCTATCCAGGATTTCTCTTTGGAGAAGTCATATTTCCCATAATCATTTCTAGTTGGATGATCTAGCACCACACAAAGGATGGTATGAAAACAACCAAAGCTCCCTCTACAGTTATCTGTTAAGAACTGCCACTCCAGCTCTTGGCTAGCTATGTTCAATGCTACAATTTAAGTCCAGGTGTTCTTTTCAGGACTAATATTCTCTTCTGTTCTAAAGACAACATCTCCTATTATGTAGACATGATCATCAATCTCAGAAACTTCAGATGATGTTTACAAATATTAAGTGCAGCTTGTCCATCACTTTGTTATAGAATAAAATACATCATATTTCTAGTCCTTTTTGGCCATATGAATTATGAATGCCAACAATATATTTTCATTGAGAGTATACACTACTGCCTTACCATTGTTAGTTTTCTACTCTGAAACATGAATGTAGTAATCCATGTTTGGTCACCTATCTCTCCACAATTTAGGTTACTGAATGGCCATTCAGTCTACCTACTACATGTAGCTAACTCATGACTATAGTCATTTGAAATTGGACTACTGGTGTTTTCAAGGGAGCAAGAAAGGACAAATAATCTAATGTAGATTATAGTACTCAGATGTTCAAAGACATTTCTCTCTGTCATAGCTATCTGTAGCCATGAATTTGGTAACCTCTCCTATCCCAAGACCAGATCATGCATTCTGCATAGGAAACATGGACTTTTGTATTCACTTGTGTGGTTTCATCTCAAAGCTTAAACTACTAGTTTTGGAGTACCTGTTGGTGAGTTCTGTGTGAAGTTTTGTCCATGAAGGAAAGTTGCACAGAATATCTCATGTACATATCTAAGAATAAATGTAATTTGAAGTAGTTTAAAATACTACCTTTAAGTAGTTGTACAAAGGGTATCAATTCAACAAGCCAGATTATGAGTGCAATGCATCTTGATCTATGTCACCCCTTCCATTGTTCTCTTCTTTCCCAATCCCTTCTATTCCCTCGTTACATGGATTCATTTCACATAGGTACACATATGTATTGGCCTGTCCTTTCTCCATCTGCCTACCACCCAAACAAGTTTCAGAGTCCTGCTATTCATTTTTTCGGCTGTTTATTAGTTGTTCAAAGGATCTATACCATCGGAACTCTCCCCCTAAATGTACCATTTATTGGTCAATTTTTCTTACGTTTATAGTTTAGACTTAACTTCCACATCTAGCACAATCTCCCATGCTGTTAGATATGTAACACATTCTTTGCAATAAATATGTAAAGATACAAAATCTCTACTTCAATTTGTTCTCATTTCGTCCCCCCGCCCATTACAGTGTTAAATCAGTATTTCCAAAGCATTGCTTTGATTTTTGTTATCACCTGATTTAAAAAGGCACTGATTTTCTACCACCTGAAATTTTCATTCTTCAGATCTACAGCTCTTCCTTCAGCTTTGTCCTTGCTATGGTTTGACTGTGTCTTCTTTGATATGACAGTATTAAGAGGTGAGGCCTTTACAATTTGATTAGGAAATGGCAGAGAAAGATTAAACATGCAGCAGTTGTACTCACTAGACACTAGGTAGCAAATGAACTATACAACTTGTGGGTGAGAATGGAGGGGGAAACTGGGAAAGAGCAAGGAAAAAGTGACATTGTCCATAAAGAAATGTACTCTTGCTGGGAAGTTGGCTCAGTGGTAGAGCGCTTGCCTTGCATGCCTGAGGCCCTGTGTTCAATTCCTCAGCACCACATAAGCAAAAAAGGAAAAACCCGGAAGTGGCGCTGTGACTCAAGTGGTAGAGCGCTAGCCTTGAGCTGAAGAGCTGAGGGACAGTGCCCAGGCCCAGAGTTCAGGTCCCATGACCGGACCCCCCCCCTCCCCCCAAAAAAAGCCGGAAGTGGTGCTGTGGCTCAAGTGGTAGAGCGCTAGCCTTGAGCTGAAGAGCTGAGGGACGGCGCCCAGGCCCAGAGTTCAGGCCCCACAACTGGACAAAAAAAAAAAAAAAAAAGTACTCTTTACCTGACTTATGTAACTGT